AGATTAAGCCAATAAAGGACGACAATGGAAAGTCAATCACCAAAGAGGTGGAACAGAGAAAGCACTGGGTTGAACACTTCAAAAGACTTCTAAATCGTCCGCCACCTACAACACGTCCAGCAATACCAACAACGGAAGCAGAACTACCAGTGAACACTGACCCCCCGACGAAATCAGAAGTCCTGAATGCAATCAAGATGCTTAAAACTGGGAAAACACCGGGACCAGATGGAATCCCAGCAGAGGCTTTGAAAATAGACCCAGAGACAACAGCGGACTTGATGACACCACTACTGGAGAAGGTGTGGAAAGAGGGCAAAGTACCCGAGGATTGGAAGAACAGTTACTTATTCAAACTTCCAAAGAAAGGAGACTTAAGTCAATGTAAAAACTGGCGTGGAATTATGCTTCTGTCCATTCCAAGCAAGATACTAAGTCGCATCATCCTGGAGAGAATCAAACAAGCCCTAGATGAAAAACTTCGTCCGGAACAGGCTGGATTCAGGAGAAACAAATCATGTATTGATCAAATCGCCACTCTACGGATCATCATTGAACAAAGCTTGGAATGGCAGTCACCTCTCTATCTCAACTTCATCGACTTTGAAAAGGCCTTCGACAGCGTCGATCGAGAGGTCATTTGGAAACTACTTCGCTACTACGGGGTCCCATCGACAATTATACACCTCATCCAACAGTTATACGACAATGCTGCATGCCAAGTAATCCACAACGGGAAACTTACGGAAGCCTTCGAAGTGAGGACGGGAGTGAGGCAAGGCTGTCTACTATCACCAATGATCTTCCTGATTGCAATTGATTGGATAATGCGACAGACAACGGCAACCAACGAGGGAACAGGCATAAAATGGACTGACACAAAAGACTTGGAGGATCTGGATTTCGCCGATGATATATGTCTGATTTCCCATAAACTGGAAGATATGCAAATGAAAAGTAACAAGTTGGCAGAAGAAGCATCAAAGATAGGACTTCACGTGAACATAGATAAAACAGAGATGATGAAGATTCCTTGCCAACATCAACAGCAACAACAGACCACAATAAGCATAAATGGGAAGAACCTGAAAGAAACAACCTCCTTCACCTACCTGGGAAGCATCGTCTCAACTACAGGCGGAACTGACGAGGACATCAAAGCCAGAATCGGAAAAGCAAGACAAGCTTTCATTACTCTCAAATCTGTGTGGAGGTCAACAGCAATCAGCATCAAAAATAAGATCCGGATTTTCAACTCCAATGTGAAGTCAGTGCTACTATACGGATCAGAGACTTGGCGAGTCATAAAGAGCATCTCAAACAAACTTCAAACCTTCATTAACAACTGTCTCCGCTCAATACTCAAGATCAGATGGCCAGAAAAGATCAGCAACAGGGATCTCTGGGAGCGAACCAATCAGGAACCGATTGTGAAACAAATAGGCAGAAAGAAATGGAGATGGATTGGCCATACGCTGAGGAAACCATCAAGTGACATCACTAGACAAGCCCTCGAGTGGAACCCGAAAGGGAGGCGGCGAGTTGGTCGTCCAAGGGTGACTTGGAGGAGGTCATGTGAAGAGGAGATGAAAGCATGTGGGCAGACCTGGAGCAGGGTGAAAAAGTTGTCAGAAAACCGAAGTCAATGGAGGTGCGCAGCTGAAGCCCTATGTTCCTCTAGGAACTAAAGGATACAATAATAATAATATAATAATAATAAATCCGATATCTTACTGTATAAAATATAAAATTACTTCACCCCATTGGCCTTCGTTTATATCAGTAGCATAACCCTTGAATGTAGTGAAAGAATCGTAAGGCAGTGGTCGCTAAGTTCGTAGCTTCGGTAAGTTCGATTGCAATAGTTACTACAAAGGATGACAGTGTTTAAGCACTTTCTTAGGCCATTAGTAAGACGCTAAGTAATTCTAATAATACGTGCGCTTGCCTAGGAAAAATGAGGGCTTCTTTTCGTCACGAAAATAGCAGTAGTGGATGAACAGGTCGTTTAAAAAGTGGGCAATTTGTTCGTTGAAAACGTGGGAAAACGGGGTAAAAGTGTGTACATTTTTAATTCCGGCACATGGAATAAGTGGGTGAAAACGTGGGTCAAGTGGGAAAACGGGGAAAAAGTGGGATATGTGGCCAAGGTGGGTAAAATCGGTTGCGTTTACACCATCTTTAGCCCACGTGTTTGCCGATCAAAATTACCCTTTTATCCCACGTTTTGCCCACTTTTCCCATGTGAATTAACCGACTGGGTAGAAACTCATTCAGACAGCAATAGCCCTGTGAATAAAGCCTCACCGAAAGATGTAAAAAAAGATAGAACTTCTGCAAGCATCCCTGTTAACAAAGCCTCAATAGAAGGTATTAAAATAGCTACTACTGATGTAAGTCGTTGTCAATGTAGTAGAAGATTGAACGATCAATTCATGGTTGTTTGCTCAAACCCCACTCCTCCATAATTTTCGCGAGTGTCATCAATCCGACAGTCATTGTCCCATTGGTCGCTGTTCAGAGGAAGATAGAAAACTATCAGAAGTATTATCGTGATTTATTGTTATATCATTTATTCTTAGACCTTGTGCGTAATAACCTTAATGGTAGGCTATATATTGGCGTAAGAATAAAGGATTCTCGAGTCGCCAACCAGTTTTCTGGTTATTCGCGTCTGTTATTACAAATTGTTTCTGAAAGTCTTCGAGGGACAGCGTGAGGTCCAGCGTAGTAAGAGCTGCACATTGACGGTTTCTGAGATATATGTGTAGAACTTGGGCACTGTGGTAGTAAGTAATTCCATATTAGTTTGTTTATTAGATATATCACACAGTGAAACAGTATTATTACATACTGGATGACGTTTCGAACACAATTTATTGTTCATAATCATATCAATTTTGATATTGATATGATTATGAACAATAAATTGTGTTCGAAACGTCATCCAGTATGTAATAATAGTTTCACTGTGTGATATATCTAATAAACAAACTAATATGGAATTGCAATTTCTGAGAGTTGGCTGACAGTTTATGAGAGTTGGCTTGCAGATGCGCTTATGTTTTTGTCTCTATCTTCTGACTTCAACAATTCAGCGATTGACTTGTTACCGAGAAATATTAGTTTCGATGACTTAGAATATGCACCCGGATGGTATAATCCTTCTAGTTGAACATTCCGATAAAATGCACATTTCTGAATACCCTGAGGAGCGGCAATCTTTGAGTGTTTAGCTTGCAATTCTTTCCTTCTTTCAAATAGAAGGTGATTCTACAGGACTGGACTACATTGACACCTTGCTTAAAAATAAGCAGAAGTGAAGTGGTAGAACGCGTTGACCACTTCGCTTCTTTGGGAAGCTGATTCAGCCCCAATAGTTCGGTCGGTAACGAAATGCCAGCACGGATATAGAAGGATAGTTTCGCATTTGGCAATTCACGGCACATCTAGCATAGACGCGATATCTGGTTATCGACCAAAGGATGTGTGTACTGTGTAAAGAAGGGAAATGTATCTACGAATGCGTGAAATTACATCGACTGAGATGGTTAGGACATGTGAAAGGCATGCATGCCTAGCCATAGCCTTCTTCGACAACGGGCAATGTCACCTGGCTGACACGGGATTGATCACACCAAAACATGGCTTCATCAGCCAATGAAATCCACAGCAGTTCCTTTAAGCCAGCCAGGTCAAGAGGTGTGGACTTACCAGTTGGGGATTTCAAGATGGTAAACAGCAATGAAGGTTGGAGACAATTTGTGATATGGCTCAAAATCTTCGATCTCAGTGGAGCAGATGCATCCACTCCTTGTAACCTATAATACCCAATAAATCTATATTGTTGTCCCATATTACAATTCTTTTTGCCTCACGTCCCTGTTTACTGTCTCTGCTTTGCATTTCTTTTTAATTCCTTCTCTTACTTTCTGTGATACATGGAGGGAGTGTGGCGACTCGAACCGCTGCACATCGGTGCAAGGTTCTATGTTGAAACCAGTCAGTCAGTCGCTATTGATTTCTGAAGTGTTAGTAAATTATTTCTGCTAAAAGTGGTGCTATCAATCAGTTCTTCCATTAGATCAAATAGACTTGGATATGTCTGATGATAATTTTTCTAGGTTGCTGGCGCAGTTGATGACAAGCCAACGAAATAAATGATGGTATCACATTATTATGCGGAAACCGTTATTCTTGCTTCATTCAAATTAACAAAAGGGAAAATGTGTGAAGCCCACGCACCACACATATTAATGGCTATCTATATGAACTCGCCCTGATAATGTCCACTTTCCTTTGTCTGCACAGGTGCATAAACAATTAGCGTAAAAGGCCGATTAGAAAATAACAATAACTGGCTTCCATTACTACCTCACGACTATCTTATACACCAAATACTCTTGGCTTTATTTCTTGAATAAACTAGTAAATCTTAGTTAACAAGCTCGTTGTAGTTGCAATTGGCAAAATCTATAAATGAATTAGACTTATGATTTTAATTGCTCGATGTGGCTCCAGAGCTTATAATTATGCCGAAATGGCGGCTTCCGCATGCTGAAACAATTCATGAATAGTGAATTTAGTTGCATTCATCGTAAGGTGTACTATCTCGTTTGGCTTCAGCCACATTATTTCCATCATACCAGGTTTTTCAGAATTCTTTCTCACTGATTCAATATTGAGGTACCGTCTAGACCAGAATGTAAGAGCGTTTTAGCAGAGACAAGTCAAAGGTTACAATGAAACTAGCAGCGATGTCGAATGCATTGTGACTAGGGTGTGATTTCTCACATACCATCTGTATTCTTGATCTGAAAGTTTAAATCCTAAATTACGAATAATATCAATAAGATTTTTTCATTGCAATAAACCATGCAGCCTTATGACTGCATATATCTTGTGTCTCCGTCTGTGTTACTATAGGGATTGTGTTTAAACGCATTTGCTCAAGGTAAAGAAAAGTTCCGGTCATTTCAACGGTTGTCAAATGCTACTCGATGGATTCTAATGCGTTGCTAAGAGACCAGATAAAACACAAACTTAATGCAGTTAATTTGTCATCTAAACACGTTAAGGATGCTGCATCGTTTCTACTCACTCAAGCAGAACATTCCGATTTCATCTCAAACCAATGGCTGGAAGTATTCAAAAATAGTGAGTTCACATGTACTCGTGTCATTCACATTTGTTCCATCATATACTAGTCACCTCGTAAAACCAGTTTATGTCTCATTTTCGTTGATTTAATATGGTACTTTTGAGATATGGAGCTTCGTCTGGCTTGGTGTCCTTGTCGATGTTGATAGAGCTCGAGCTCTATCAAGTCGAGCCCACAACATAGTCTATGAATTTTAGACAAGTGATGGACTTAAGGAGTCTAAACGGTTAAGTTTTGGTAAAATAAGTAAAATTGGAAGGATGCTGGACCAAGTAACTAATCAATAGTCCTGTTATTCACACGTCCACTCCAAACTTTTAAACCGTGGTTTTTTTCCACACCCAATATTTAGCATTAAGATTCGCGTACATAGCCTGAAATAAATCCTCAGCTTCACGGGTTTCTTCCGAAATTCTATGTGCAGGGCTATTTGGGAATGCAACAGACATTTCTTGGGGTCACACTATAAGCAGACTATTTTTTACTCCTAAATGACTTAAAAATACCTCCGAATTACATTAAGGAGTATCATTTTTGGAAGTTGGACTAACGTCTGTACGTGTATATTCACCGAGGTGACTTAAGGTGGGCTTTATTTGTAACCCATTTATCGCTCTTATCCTGTTTCGCAGTCTTCCCCAAAAGACCTCCGTTGAATTACTATGGCTTCCAGCAGGAGAATCAATGACTACTTACTAGGAAATTCTGGGTACGAAAACAAGTTGAAATAAGTAATACCAGCTCTAAATCTCTCCTTAATCTTAACCCTAACCTTGGTCCTAACCCAAATTATAACCATGATCCCAACCCTAATACCTACCTTAACCCTAAGGAGATATTAATAATGTGTCCAGACAGTACTTAAAAACGTGATCTGAGTGAAATTCACTCCTTAGTTAGTGAGTAGCGTTCATATGATAATGACAGGTGTCGTTGGCCAACGACTAGCATGCGTTCAAGGTCTCTGGGGAGTTCGCTTATCTGGGACACTATTGTTTAACTTCGCCTCTTTATTAATGCTCATTTTTTGCTCTCACTAATGTGAACTTCTGGTCTGCGCTTTTTTATCAGTCATTAGCAGTTCACTTTCTCATTATGATTCCATACAGTTTAAGTTATTTAGAAACATTTGTTACAATTGAGCTTACCGGTTTTATATGATGCAGGTATGACAAAAACCATTGAAATCCGCACAATTAATGCGTTTTGTATCATAAGAGAGTTGTGAGGTTTCAATTAAGTATGTGTGTCATTTTGTATAGTGTTTCACACTTCCTTATTCAGACCTGAAAACGGTCCAAAAATAGTGTTTCCCGACCGATAACTGCTACATTGACGTGGTGGTCACCGAGCTTGCACATCGCGATGACCCAACAAGATACACTGGCTGGGACAGATGTTCCTGCAGGTCCTACCATGCCAGGAAGGTTGTTAGGATAGTGATCAGACTAAAAGAAGTTACCACCATTGTGTAAGAATTTTTACACTATGCTGTGGGTCTGTGGGCGAAGTCGTACTGCTGGGGAAAAGGGGTGTAACAGCAGTAAGGTGTTTCCCTCAGATGACCAGCATGCCATCCAGCTGCGCTGTCTCTCCACTCTGGAGAGAGGGGGGTTAGAAAGGGTCGATTCCGACAATTCTACATCCCGACTTACCCTACGGTGGTCCGTATCCGGCGGTAAGTCTACCAATACGAAATCAAACCAAGAAACCAGTGCGTACAGACCGTGTGTGGCCGGCCAGTATCAAGCAGTTGTCCCCTGGGCTCTGCGGTCACTCAATGCTAGCCGTCTTTCTGTTTCAGGTACCCGAAGAATCAATTAAATTCCAAGGTGTGGGCAGCCGGGAAGTAACAACCGCCCACTCAATTCCAAAAGTACGCGAATCGTTCCTGAGCATCATTCTGCTCTACGCAAATAGTGTTTATGCCTTGTGACTCAGACCGCATTCTTTTATTGTCCCTGGCTTTACTACCCATTAGCTAAATTAGTTAAGTCCACATAACTAAATTGAATAATCAACAGGAAAATAGTGACGTAGGACACCACATGCAGTTGTTTTCAATGAATTCCTCTTCAGGCTCTACAATTATAAAAATCCATTGTTTTTAGCCTACAACAGCCAGTAAAGACAAATTCCAATTTTATCAGTAAGGATATTGTAGAAAAAGTATGTATGCTTGGATAAGACACAACCAAAGGCCTTATATCTCTTAGCCTAAGATTCTGTAAAAGACTTGGTTGGGTTAATCATTTAGAGATTGACGTTTAATTTGAATGGTCATTTGCCCAAGACAAACGAGTTAATTCCTTCGTCTAAGTGGGAACTAGAGAGAGAGATTTAATATGACTCTAATTAAGTCATGTTACCAGTCTAAAAACAGCAAATAGCCTATCAACATCCTATTTACGAAGGAACACGGAGATGCATAACATGACCTGAAGTTACATGCAGTTGTTGTTGTTGTTGTTGGTTAATTTTCTTTTGCATATTTATATCCGAAATGGATTGAGTTGCTTTTCTCATTCCTGCTGCTAGTTGCTATAACATACATGTTAGTGATTGAATGACTGGTTCCAACAGCCAACTTTGTACAGAATTGCAGCAGTCCGAGTCGCCACACACAAAGCAAGAGAAGAGAATAAAAAGAAGTTAAAAAGAGTTAATGAATATAAGTATGGGTGAGGGGAAAATATTAATAGTAATATTGGAGAACAGTGGACCCTTATTGGATATTATAAATCACCAATGGGGAATGCATCTGCGCCAGCAATTGGGGATGAAGATTTTGAGCCATATCACCAATTGTCTCCAGCCTTCATTGGTTCTTAGCATCCGGAAAACCCCAAACTGTCACGAAGTCTACACCTCCCTGCATAACTTAAACTAGTTGTTGTGGATTTCATTGACTGATAAAGCTATGTTTTGGTTTGACCACCACTAGGTCTTTTCTATCCTGGTCGATCCTATTTCAGTCAGTTAACATTGCCCATTGTCGAGGAAGGTGATCGATGGCTTGGCACACATGCGTAACACATGCCATAACCGTCTCAATATGTGTAACTTTACAACCTCGTCGATCGATCTTTCCTCTTTACCCAACACTCGATCAAAAACTAACCTGAATATTTCTCACTCTATTTACCTACCATTTAACACAGGAGATAGAATGCAAGCAGCTATGATGAAAGACAACTAGCCTTTTCGTATCTTCCACTTTCAATGGCCATGTCTCACAGGTATAAAGAACGGAGGTGGCTGCTGAGCAGTGCACACGCCCTTTAGTCGATAACCGGATATCACGTCTACTAAGCCAGAGATGGCGTACTTGCTAACATCCTAATTGCTTCTTTTTCCAAAAATCTTGTACGTGTTCCATGGAAAGACATTAAAATAGTCCCTGTCCCGAAACCTGGTAATAACAAAAACGTAAAGTTCATACCCATTGCCATTACTTCCCCGTTTCTAAAGCTTATGGAAGAACTAGTACTTCTTAAACTCCTTTAAAAGTTTTGAAGACCCCAAACAATTTGCATATAAACAGGGCAGGAGCACGTTAGACGCTGCAGCCGTCGTACAAAACAGTATCGTCTCATCACTTGATAAAGGTGCCAAATACGTTCGCTGCACGTTCCTCAAATTCACTTCTGCTTTCGACTCTGTACCTAGATGTCTCTTGTTAAATAAGCTCTCTATGACACAAACTGAGTCCTGGGTCACAAACTGGTTGCACTCCTACTTCTCAAACAATGCAGTACACTGTATACAAAGGTGAATCCTCCTCTGCTGTGCTCACTGAAGCTGGACTCCCCCAAGGTGCTGTACTCTCCCCACTTCTCTTTTCTTTCTTTCTACATGACCTACCATCTTCAAATGACATTGACTTTGTTAAATATGCTGACGACCTGACTGTATCTTTGCCTGTCAAATGTCAAAGTGACTGCTCCAAACTAAATGGCTTTTTATCAGAAATCAGCCAGTGGTCCAAGAAAAACGGCCTAACCTTAAATCCCTCTAAATGCCAAACAGTCAATTTCACCTTTAGGTATAAATCTGACCTAAACAAACTAGTTAGCACTCATGAGGTGTGCAACATAGATGGCACTGAAATAGAAACCAAGTCCTATCTGATCTTTCCTGGTCTTCTCATATCTTGGTGATTTCTAAGAAAATATTCCGTCTAACTTCCTACATCAAGAAGTTAAGACATTCTGGTATAACCCAACCCTTACTCCTACAATTCATTAATTTTCGCATTCTGCCTATTATTCTCTATTGTTCCCCTTTAGTTTTTCCAGGGCTACTGAAGAAAGACTATGCCTTATTACGCAGGATGTTAAAGGTTGTCAGCAGGGTAAGCAACGTGACATTTAACCAGCTTGTTAATATTCTGGTTGACAGACACATGGGCTCATGTGAAAAATGGACTTAATCCATTTTATCTAACTCACACCACCCTCTTCATTCATAACTCTCCCCTTGCATCTCATCAGGCATGACCAGAAGCCTATATAGAAAACTATATGCTCGCATTAGCGAGTACAAAAACTCAACCATACCCTACTTAGCTCGTGTTCTGTGTGATAAAAAAAAGCATTAGGCGTGAAACCTATAACTTATTAAATAGTCAGTAGAACAACTGGATCTCGTCTTTCCAACTCATATCATTTATAGCTACAACGTTTTCTTTCTTTCTTTTCTTTTTCTCTCATTTTTCTTTGTTATGTGCTGCTTTGTTTCTTTCCTCCTTACAAACTCTACTTGAAACATTCTTCTTCTTTCTTTCATACTGTGTGTATCTCGACCTTTTTGTTACCGCTTACGCCAGTAAATATGCTAGCATCTACTTTTCTAACACCTTCAAACACTGTTCAATTTTGGCTTTGCTACCGACATTCCAATATGTTGTTTTCATAACTAACTGAGATTACCCTTAATCTATGTAGGACTTTATTTATTGTTAGTGTACTAACTGGATGCAATAATGTAGTAAAATGCTAAGAATTCCATTCTGTATCACAAGTGCAGTTTTGGAATAAAGCAAATTATTATTAATTTAGCGAATGTCAAACGAGCCATCCGTATCCAACAACCCACTTGCTTTGGCTGATGCAACTTCCCAAAGAAGTGAAATGCTGGTCAACACTCTCAACCAACACTTCACTCCTGCCTATTTTTAAGCTAGGAGTCAATGTAGTCTTGTCATGTAGCATCACCTTACATTTGACTGCAGGAGCGAATCACATGCCGAACATTCGAAGACTGCAGCTCCTCAAGGTATTCAAAATTGTGCATTTTATCGGCGTGTTCACGTAGAAGGACTATATCATCCGCATGCATATTCTTAGTCAACGAGATTATTTCCTGGTAACAAGTCAATCCCTGAATCGCTGAAGTCAGCAGTTCGGGTTTATTCCACTGGTGCATCCATGATAAAGTTAAGCAGAGTTGAGGGCATTGGGTTGGCATCCGTGATGAACACCATTGGTTGTCGTCTCACTTCAGATGACAACTCTCCGTAGGCTCTCACCTGGCTGGTTGCATGATTTCCAGTAAAGTGCAGCGCAGTGTATTTTCTCCGCATTCCTTTCACAGTCAAAAATCGCCATAGTACCTTTCGCTCGATGGAATCGAATATCGCTTTCTGATGGGTCAATAAATATGACAATTGCTGGAGACTGGTAGGTATGGCTGTGTTCTATAATCTGTCGAAGGGTGAATATATATGAACGCAATACACTGTTTTCCTGGTCTAAAGGTTGTCTGATATCCTTGTGTTATTTTCCCTCCCGAGCAGCATCACTTACTGTAGGCATGATTAATAAGCCTAGAAGTTTGGATATCATATTAGTCAAGCTAATCCACGCCTATATGATTATCACAGGAGGATTTTTCTCCTTTCCTGTATATTGGGATAATCAATAACTCACACCTACCCGATGGGACTTCTTCTGATTCCTAGACACTGCCTAAAGTATTAGTTAACTCAGACAGTAAATCGTCTCCACTGTACTTAAATACCTCTTGAGTCATTCCATGAGGTCCTGCTGCTTTGTCTCGTTCCAGAATAGTGACAGCTTCAGTAACCTCAGTTAGGGACGGAGGACCTGTGTCTATATCCCATTCAGGGGGGTGTTGGATGTTCGGCAGGTTGGGCGTGGCTGTAAGCCAATTAAACTGCTCCTCATAGTGCTCTTTCCAGCGTTCCAGTCGTCTATTCTGAGAGCTAATTATGGTGCCGTTCTTCTCAGAGATTGTTTCACTTATCATTTGCCTTTTACCACCTGTTTCCCTGATAAGCCTAAATAGTTGTCTGGTGTTCCCAATCGCCGATGCCTTTTCCATCTCTTTCGCTTTTGTCATCCACCACTGTTCATGGTCGTTGCAAAGACTTCTTGTTAGTTTTCGTTTGAGTAGCTTTCGCTCCTCATCATAATCGGAGCTCGCCGGAATCAGTCGGATGAGGCGGAAGAGATCCAAGGGCTCTTATTAACTTTTGTTTTTAGCTTATTAAAGCTTTTACATCTGTGTCTACAGCTAACTGTATGTTGTGCCAGGCTGCCTTAGGGGGAAGTTCTGCTGTCGACCTCAGGGATTCGTTTATCTATTTCTTCCTTAAATAGGGACTCAATGTCTTGATCTAGTCGGTGACGTAATTGTTTGGCTGCCAGCAATTTTTTGTCCGTTTAGTCTTAGGCATAAACGTGCGAGAACCAGAGCGTGATCAGAGTCTATGCACGTGTTCCAGAAGGATCGACAGTCTTCTACCCATCCTCACCAGCGATGTTCTATCGCCATGTGGTCCATTTGAGTCCAGCGTTGATTTGGTGATGGAGATCGTCAGATAACACAATCCCTGTCTTTATGCCTAAAGTTAGTGCTGACTAGGAACAGATAATTATCTGTACGGAACTGTAGTAGACGATCACCGCTGTCGATTCGTCACTAGTGAACTTTATACGTGCAACCTACATGCTTCTCAGTCTGGCACGACTTCCCTACTTCGGCATTGAAGTCGTCTGCTAAAACAACTATATCTGGAGGTTTCGTCTCATGCAGCAAATTAAACAGTTTCGGGTAGAAGTCATCCTTTAGTTCATCCGAAATTTAGTCGTTTCGGGCCCAAGCGGAGATTAGGAAAAGTCATCGACGGTCAAGGCCGTTGTCAGCCAACTCTCAAAAACTGTCAATGTCCAGCTCTTACTATGCTGGACCTCACGATGTCCCTCGAAGCTTTTCAGAAACAATTTGTAATAACCGATACGAATAACCAGAACACTGATTGGCGACTCGAGAATCCTTTATTCTGACGCCAACATATAACCAACAATACTGTTATTACAGAAGAAGGTCTAAGAATAAATGTTGTTAAAATAAATCACGATATTACTTCTGATAGTTTTTATTCTTCCTTCTGAACAGCGACCAATGAGACGATGACTGATGGATTGATGACTCCGCGAAAAATATGAGGAATTTTGGTTTGAGCAAACAACCATGAATTGATCATCAATGTGTCTGTCAGTGATTGCTTTCATAACTTCTGTTGACACATTTATAATGCAACACTATTTCATTAAGAATGTGAATAGTATAATAAGCATGACAAAATGTCTTCTTTATTGATAACACATTTCGTCTATAATTTCTTTCCATTTTTTAATTTTTTTTGTTTATTTTTGTATATTAGCAAATAATCCAAGTTTCCAGTTGGCATTACTCTATGTAGCAAATGAAATTCTGACAAAAAGTTGTAAATATGGTGTTTCAGAATTTGGTGAAGTGTTAAAACCTTTTGTCATAGAAGCAACACAATTTTTAAAGTAAGCTTAATTTGTTCAATATTCTTCATTTGGTCATTCACACATTCACTATTAGACCTGGACCATTTATTACTAAATTAACAAAATTGATTAATTATTGGACTTATCGAAAAGTGTTTGATGTTCAATTTACAGAACAACTTTTACAAAGAATAAGTAAGTTTAAATGAACAAGTATCTCTTAATATTAATAATAATTTCAAAACAATTAGTCCCTTTTATAAATTTTGATAGCGTTATTAGAAGACGGAGACTATCTGAAAAATGTGATGTATTTGAAAAATACATTTGAACTTGTTGACTGTCTTGTAGATATGAGCATAAAAGATAGGAAAATGTATTTATTTGATGTTAATTCTTTGTTTACTGATGTACTATTGATTTAAGACTGTTGATATTCTTTGTGACTATATATCTTGTAGTTGTTTTTCATTCCCTTTCCCTTTAACTTATTTGAAAGATTTATTATTATTATGTACTGACAACGTCCATTTCACCTTTGAAGGCGAACATTTTCGACAAGTGGATGGCGTTGCTATGGGGAGTCTATTAGGACTTTTGTTAGCGGACGTGTACATGTCTTATGTTGAAAACTTATCCCTTGATTTAATTTCAAAATTGCCCTTCTATAGGAGATATGTAGATGATATCATTTTGATATGTGACGATCATGAAGATGCGAGTCGCCTATTAGACAGACTTAACTCTTTACAAAATCATTTTAGTCTTACATGTGAGGAAGAAAGTTGCAACCAGCTAGCATTTTTAGACATCGTCTGTCTGTCTGTTTTCGACATAGAACTTTGCACAAATGTGCGGAAGTTCAAGTCGCCACATTCCGTGTAGCACGCGAAGCAAGAGAAGAAAGTACAAGAAAAGCATAATAGAAACAGTGAGCAGAGGTGTGAGACAAAGGAGTAATAAAGAAATACAAAACAGTTTCATTGAAGATCATAAGTCACAGGGAGTGGATGCATCTGCGCCACTGAGAACGGTATTTTTAGACATACTTCTGAGTCGAAGAGATGATGGCTCAATAAAACGGTCTATCTACAGAAAGCCCACTTGGACAGGGCAATACCTTAATTTTCACAGCTTCTGTCCATTACAGTATAAGAGGGGCTTGGTGAAGTGTCTATATTCAAGAGGATTCAGCGTATTTGCACGGCTGATGTTATGGACAAAGAAAACGAAATATTAATGGATACTCTTGTTGAAAACGGACATCCTTTGAAATTTTTAAACAGGTGTAGAAGTCATCTAGCTTCTAAACCTACAATCCATACCGTCCCTAAGAAAAAGGTTTTCATCAAATTACCATATAATGGGGAAATAAACAGTAGGATTTTGAGACAAAGGTTGAATTCAATCATCCGTAGAACCTACTATGCAGCCCAGCTTGTAATTGTGGAAAAAGCTAAAAATATGCTTCACTGTAAACCTCAAAAGTGCACAAGTGATTATATCACATCCCACACAATTTACCAATTTTTTTGTGTGTGTGGGCATACATACATAGGGAGGAGTAGTCGCGCTTTGCACGTGAGGGTGGGAGAGCATATCCCAAAATGGTTAGAAAAACAGATGAATTGTGACAAGCGAATGGATGCAGATGGCAGACTACCAAATTCGTCTATAGCTAAACATCTAATCGAGATGAACCAATAGATTGATGTTAACTCAGCCCTTAAGATCATCTATAAAAATGGTCAAGGGTGTTTACTGAAATACGCTGAGGCTATAGCTATTCATAGACTTAAGCCCCCCTTGTGTATTCAAAAACAGTTTGTCATTACTCTTAACCTACCTTGGTAATCCTTATTTGATTGGATTACCAAACGTTTGTGTTAATTATTCTTAATTCCTTTTTCTCTCACTTTGTTTAATTTAACTTTTCCATATATATTGACTTGACAAGTAAATGTGTGATCAGATTGTTCGAAATGTATAGCGCTAATACATCACATTTTTCAGATAGTCTCCGTCTTCTAACAACGCTATCAAAATAATAATTTCGCTTTTATTCCAGAAACAGTACTTGTGGTACAGTGTGGAATTTTCAGCACATATCTACAATATTGCATCTAATTTTATCGGACATTTAAAAAGGAGTATTACAAAAATAAATAAATAACAACAACGAGAAAAACCAAAAAGAAACACAAAAATAACAAAAAAATGCAAATAAAAATACCAAGTAGAAAGGAAGATAAACACCAATAATGAAAACTATTTCAGTACTGGGTAATGGAAGCTATGATTATGTGTATTCGTGGTGAACGGTAACAGCTATAATCATACAAGAAGTTATGAAATGTTCTTAAGAATGTTTATAGCCAAGATGATCAGTTAATTTGATTGAAACTACACTAAACAATCATAAAATAAACATTTCAGGTTTTTTTTTTTTATTGTCAGCACTAATGCAGTGCTTGTTGTAATAGTGTGAGTAATCCTGTATAATACAAAATTTTAAGATGGTGATAGTGGCGTTCACAAACAAGATTGTCAGCTGAATAGTGCCGAACAAAAGAAAACAATCACAAAACTAATATTACATGATGGTTAATGACAGGACAATTTAGTAATACTCATAGTAATAATATAGTCGGACCCAGTAGTTACACAAAAGAAGGAATAGAATAAAGAATAAAAAAGTAAGCTAATGATAATAATTTTAAGTAGCTAAGTATGTTTAAGAAGGTGGTTCACTATAGAGTACAAATAAGAGAGTATAAGGGGAAATAACAAGGGCCAAAATTATGTTATTAACAACAAAGCAAGTCATAGGTTTCGCGCTTAACATTGTCTCTGTCACATAGGACAAGAGTCGAATATGGTATCGTTGAGTTCCTATCCTACTTGGTTGTACGAGCATACATTATTTTGTACTGATTTCAGGTTCTACCTGATGAGATAAAAGGAGAGATTTGGGAAAAGAGGCGGTGTTGGGGGTCGGAGAGTATGGTTTTATACCATTTTTCGCATGTATTCAGATGCTTATCTACTAATGTACTGACGAGCTGAATGAGTTTTGCTTTTGTTTTCTTTATCCAATGTATGTGTGTGTGTGTCTGTGTGTACACAATTTATTTGTGCATTTTTAGATGCTACAGAACAAGTTGAACAGAAGAATTTAACTTCACCAGTATGGCATAATAATGCAGATGATATGGTTAAAAATTTCAGTGTAAGTTAGCTATTGATAATTACATATATATATATATCCAATGACTAGCCCGTGAATTTCAGTTTCTTTCAGTTCATTATTTTAGCGCGACGACCAATCATGGTCAACCCTACTGGTTGTGATATCCGGCTGGCTATCGACCAAAGGGAGGGGGTGTACTGCTCATCAGTCCGCTCCGTCCTCCTTTATGACTGTTGGTGAGACCTGGTTATTGAGAGTGGAAGACATGAAAAGGCTGACTAGCTGTCTTTTGTCATAGGTGCCTGTGGTTTATCTCCTGTGTGAAGTGGTGTAGACTAGGGTTACCAATACTGAGGTTAGGCGTGGGTTGAGTTCTAGGTAGTTGAGAGGGGAAATTAATCGACGAGGCTGTGAAATTACATCGACTGAGATGGTTAGGATATGTGTTACGCATGTATACCTAGCCATCGATCGCCTTCCTCCTTGACGTGCAATGTTAGCTGACATATGGTCAGACTGGAAAAGAGCTAGCTAGTGGTGGTCAAACCAAAACATGGCTTCATCAGTCAATGAAATCCACAACAGTTAATTTAAGCCAGTCACGTAGGAAGATATAGACTTCCTGGTTGAGGTCCTCGGACAGTAAGAACCAATGATGGCTGCAGATAATTGGTGATATAGCTCAAAATCGCTCTGAATGGAGCAGATGCGTGACTTAAGATGTGACTTAAGATTTCCAATGAAACTATATTGTTCTTCGTTATTATTACTCCTTTGTCTCACACCTCAACTTACTGTCTCTATTATGCATTTCTTCTACTTCTCTTGCTTTGTGTGCTATATGGAGTGAGTGTGGCGACTTGAACTACCGCACATCGGTACAAAGTGTCTATGTCAAAAACAGACAGACACCCCACTGGTCATAGTTTCTCATCAGACAGCTTCAGGCAATTTCATCTTGTAGCCTGATTCGATAAGTTTTAAAGGATTGGCGTTTATAGAGATTTAATTTGTTTCAAGTTTGATATCAGCTTGTGACTGACTGACAGACTATTTTCAGCATAGAACAGTTCAAGTTGCCAAACTCCCTTCCCCATGTAGCACATAAAGTAAGAGAAGAGAGTAGAGAAAAAAATTCAAAATGCATCAGCCATTGAGAAAGAAGATTTTGAGACATATCATCAGCTCAATTGTTTCCAGCCATTCATTGGTTTTTGTTTTTACCCATCCACAGGACTTCAATCAGGAGACCAGTCTACACCCCTTCCTAATTGGTTGGTTTTAACTGACTGTTGTGGATTTCATTGACTGATGAAGCCATGTTTTATATGTTTTGACCAGCTCTTTTCCACACTGATTGATTGTATTTCAGTCAGCAGCTAACAAACAATATTGCCTGTTATATCGGAGAAGGCGGTCGTTAGCTAGGCAGGCAGGCAGGCTATGGATAACACATATTGTGTAACCATCAGTAGTTGACTAGTGTGGGGAGATTTGTATTCTGTGAATGCAGTGATTTAAAGTTAAGTGGTTAAAGATAATAAATCATATTCACAGGTAATTTAGTAAATTACCAATTTTACTCCTTTTATTCGTGAGATGATTTTTGAATCAATATCTGAAGTTTTAGCAGCTATTTTACAAATAGTTGGGCTTGAAGTGTAAAAGTGAATGGGTAAGGTAACCCAATGAAATTAGCATTTCAAGTCTCACTTTAATTTACTTGTATTTAAACTATCAAAAAAAAGTACTATGGGCTACTACACTAATATGCCCAGTAAATGAGAGATACTTTTTAATATACAGAAAGAAAACAACAACAACAACAGCGGTTTCTGCAAAATAATAATAATACTAATGATGATTTACTTTATTCCAAAAACAGTACTTGTGATACAGAATGGAATTTTCAGCATTAATCACAATATTACTGCATCTAATTTCCTCAAATTATAAATAAAAATTAATCACACAGAAAATTTTCCACATTTACAATAGAGGTAGTGTCAAAAACATGCTGCATATAAAATGGAAATAGCAATAATAATGATAACAGCTAGGGCAGTAATAATAATAATAATAATACAAGTGAAAATTACTGTGGGCTTGTTTCACAGTATTGGCAATGTGGTATAGAGATCCTAGCATGTTTAAAAATATTGAATATAATGTTCTCTTTACATGATGGTGATGGTGAGGGGAAAAACAAAGATTACAGCAGTCACTGAGATAAGTTGGTGTTTGCAACTATGAGAGTAAAACAAAGAAGTAACAGGACCATAAATATAATAGAAGTAATAAAAGTAAAACTTGAAGGTATATAAGGATGGATGGACGGAGGAAACTGATTAGTTACTAGATGAAAAAAGGTTAGTTAATTGTTGCCTGACACTATTTTCATCACATAAAATACGTGCCAAGTATGGTATCATAGAATTCTTATACTTAGACGTCCGAGCATACAGTTTTTTTGAAGTTACTTCTTGTTCTACCTGAGGAGATGCCAGGTGAAAGCTGAGGGTAAATAAAGCGGATGCTCCAAGTCAGACAAAATCCCTCTAGCAAATTTATTGCACGAAGTCAAGTGCCTATCGACAACGATGTTAACTATGTGGTCCACTGCGACATCACTCACCCTACTGACTATCTTCAGCATTCTACGAATTGTGACATAGTCTTTTATATGCAAACCAGGAAAGAATAAGCAGGGGTGAACAATAAAGAAGAATAGGTAGGATGCAAGAGTTTATGAATTGTGAGAGGAAGGGTTGAGTTATACCCGAGTGTCTTAACTTCTTAATGTAAAATGTCAGGTGGAATATTTTACTGGAGATCGCTAAGACATGGGAAGATCAGGAGAGATCAGAAGAGAGAATGAGTCCAAGATACTTGATTTCTGATTTGATTCCTATATCATTGTCGTCAATCTTACAACTGTCATGAGAATCGATGACTTCTTTTAACCGTCGTTTACATCTTAAGCTGAAATTAACAGTTTGACATTTAGAAGGATTCAGTTTAAGACTGTTAGACTCAGACCATTTGCTGACTCCCGAGAGAAAGCTATTTATTTTAGTACAACCTAGCTGGGAGTTAACAGCCATTGAAACCGTTAAATCATCAGCGTACTTCACAAAAATTATTTCATCAGAGTGAGGCAAGTCATGTAAGAAGAAAGAAAACAGAAAAGGAGAAAGGACAGCGCCTTGAGGGACACCAGCTTCAGTAGGCAATGAAGTGGAAGACTTCCCTTTATACACGATGTACTGCTTTCTTTCTGAGAAATAGGAATGTAACCAGTTAACAGCCCAACATTCTGTTTGACTTGCGGCAAGTTTATTTAATAAGATGTCCCTAAGGACCGAGTCAAAAGCAGATGTGTAGTCTAGGAAGGCAACACGAACAAATTTAGCCCCCTTGTCTAGACTGGAAGCAATGTTATGATATAAGACGGCAGCTGCATCTAAATTGCTTCTACTTTGCTTATAGGCAAGTTTAGGGTCATTAAAGGATTTAAGTGAAGGCACAAGACTAAGTAAAAGTAATTTCGCCCATAGTTTTCAAAAAAGGAGAGGTAATAACAATGGGTCTAAATTTGACACATGCTCTAATAGATAATTTGGGTATAGGTACAACTTTGATGTCCTTCCAAACGGCAGGCACAATATTACTGGAAAAAGATTTGTTAAATAGACCAGTGAGAGGGTGACACAGAATATCAGAACATTTAAAAAAAATAATACTAGGTACATAATCTGGACCTAAGCTGTGGAAAGGGTTTAGAGACTTGAGGCACTTTTGAACATCATTTGTGTTAAAACATAGAAAGGGGCTATTATTAACACTAGTGATGCTGGGAAGCATGACATTTGAGGGAATGTAAATAAAAGATTTATTTAGAGTACATACATCAAAAGAATATGGGATATTGTTCATCTGAAGACGATGTTAGTGCTTATTTCGTTGGCTTCTCATCAGCTGCTGCTGCTTCTGCTTACAGCCTAAATAAATTATCATTATTATTATTAAGTTTATGTACAGAAAATTTTTAACATGCTTGCAAATTTTACATGATGTCAGTTGGACAGGAAGTCTCGTCTGAACTTAGTCAACAATAGTGCCTAGAGAATCACGCCTATATAGAGTATATTTTTACACAGGGAGTCGGTGGCACAGTGGTTAAGACTCTCACCGACCATGCACATGGTCCAGGGTTCGATCTCTTTCCGACGCACACCTGATATCTATGGTAGACCTGTAAAATTTAGGCTACCGATGATATCACATGCTGAAAATTTCATACTTGTACCGAAAATACGGTGTGGCATCAAGCTGTAATCAAAATATAAAAAATATAAATATAAGTTAAAACAGAGTAAGTGTATGTATGCAGTGGTATAGGAGTTACGTAATAAAGACGAAAAATGCGCCAGATGATGGAGTATCTAATACATTAGGTAACAATGTATTGAGTTCAACTCAAATCGTAGAAACACAAGAGATAAGCAAAATTACACTATATCAAAGGTTGGGGGGTGGGGTGGGAAGGACGGAGGGTGAAGTTAAAGCCAGAGATCACGTGATCAAATGAAAGAGAGAATAAAGACATCCGGTTACCAGGTGTACAAGAAAAGACACATTAATCGCGTTTCAGGCATTTGATAGAGATTGTGTTTCTGCAAAACTTGAGAAGAAATAATGAGCCTTTTGTGTGTCTGTTGATAATTTTGAAAGATTTTGTGATGATGTGAGTTGGACATCACAACGAAAGTTGGTTACAACTCTAATCCAAAAGATAGATTTGTACACAACTCAGAACAGGCGGAGATGGAGGACGAGGGGGATAATGGATAGTCAGTTCATCTTAATTCTGATGTTAGTTCAATTTTCAGTTTGGATGCGCCACACAATAATAATAAAACAACATAGATCAAACGAAAAAAAAGAAAGAAGAGAATATATATATATGTATAAGTAGTGAACGGATAAAGAACTTCATCTGGAAGGAAAACAGTCATGCTTAACAAGTTCAAACAGTATTCGTTAACTGTCATCGGGAAGGGAAGAAAGAAGGAAATTGCAACACGTGTAATAGCACGCGATAAGTTTCATTGATTGTTTGTTGCTTCATTCAGTTCATTGTGTGAGGGCTGAGATACTTCCCGGGCGCCCAGACCGAAGCAGGTGGTTTTATTAAGGGACCACCCCATCCCGAGCCTTTGACTTGGAGTCTAATCCGCGGATTGGCAGCGGAGCAGCGTCAGGAGCTGCATTCCCATGGTTGACGGTGACCCGTATGGGTTCATACGCCATTTGATCCGATTGGATACTGGAGCCTATGTACCCCATGGTAACTGCTTTTAGTTTAACCGCTGTCCAAACAACCTTCCTGACATGGTAGGACCTGCAGGGACAGAGTCCCAGTCAGTTTAGCATGTTGGGTCATTACGGTATTCAAGCCTGACCACCACGACAAGCCAGCAGTTATCGGCCGGGAAATACAGGGAATGCTATGGAATAATGTCATTCTAAATCAAATCATGTCTGTCTTTCTTTTTGGACTTGTTGGAGAGGGTAGATACAGTATTCCACTTACTTACTAGCCACTTTTTCTGTACCATAACATACACTCATCTGGATGAAATGCATATATCCCGCGTAGTATTAACACGAGAATTATCAGTAGTAGTAAACAAAGAGATGTTCATCAGCACACATAAACGTCAAATACCAGGGAGATACATTTGATGTCAGAGAATGCAAATGGGAGATGTGAAAGGAACGCACACAAAAAAAAACACAATATAAAGGCCAGGAGTATCTGAACATCAAAGATCTGTGCAAATTACGCATTGAAGATAAGGGGTGTACATACAGTTTGGCTGTGTAGAGATACCAATTTCCAAATAAACATTCCTTTACAACGTCTACCGTCTTCTATGGGTTACATCATTTGTGTAGTGGCTGACAGAGATATTCTTACACAACACATAATGCAGACCCAGAACTATGTAAAGTGTTGGTGTATTTACAACGATAATACAACTTTTTCACATGTGACTTTTGATTGGTTGGCCAAGGTAGGTCACGGGGGTTTTGGGTATGATATATATATATATATATATATCATGTTCCTTAAGTTTGCCCTATGTAGAATTCACATAGACATTCAGCTGTGTCAAGTCACATGTAGGAGAGAAAAGTCACACCCTTGGTTTTCCATTGTGGATAGGATTTTATTTTGATAAATCACACAGTGTTGTTATACAGTAATATTAACTGATGACCACCTTTCGAGCACAAACTATTGACGCTCATAATCATATCAAGTTACTCACACAACTTTTTTCCTTCATTTATATACATGAGTGAAATGGATAATTAGACATTTGAATAAAATCAGTAATATAAGATAATGTACATTCAGAAATAATAATATGAGTGTTATTGATCAAATACAATGGGAATACATGGGAATTAAGACGAGTCTTTATAGTCATAATAAATAACTTGTTAGAATGTTATGATGAACGTGAAGTGAAATAGAATTTTAAGATTATTTATTATCCTCCTCTGATTTACCTGACTGGTGGTAATAATATCTTCTATATCTCTGGTATTTGCATGGAGTCATTTCTAAGGCATGTGTTGGGTGTAGACTCGATGAATCAGACAGGATTTAGTAATCAATCTCTCTCTCCATCTCTAGATTACTTCTTAGAATTTTTACCCTATCCCACCCTATTGTGTGGTTGTGCGTTGTTAATGCGTGAAGTGCGATTGCTGAGTTTTTTTTTAAATTACTTATCTTTTCAGGGTCAAATATTCTTACCTTAGCTAAATTCTTATATTCTGATAATCTGACTGTCCCCGACCTACTAGTTTGACCTATATAGTTGACCTTACTCACAGTTAGTGCAGGGTATTTCGTAAATTATAGTATTATGTTTAATTGGGTCAACAGGGTCCGTTAACCTACATAGCTTGTCCCTGATTGAGTTTGTAGGTTTGAATGTCGCCAGCCTAATTCCTGCTTTATTAAGAATCCTACGTAATGTCTCAGATGTCTCCTCCTTATATGATATAACAGTGGATGACTTATATTCCCTCTTATGCTATCATTACTAGTTCCATAATTATTTAATAAATTTAAGTTCTGAGATGTTTATTAGATGACAGTGTTTATTTATCCTTCTTCTTTTTCGATGTATCAATATTGCACTAATAAAATATTTTGACTTTATATATATATATATATATTATTTTCCTTCACGTTCCCAGTGGAACATTGGGCCTCAAGCTAGTGGCTTGAAGTTTCTATAGCAATGTTTATTTTTACAGGATTTGGTTGCTAGCCTCATGCACAACCTTTCCTCTTTACCAGCATTATTTCTGGTTTAGCGAGGTAAAGGAGTGCGTCTTTGGCCGGGGATCGAACCCCGGACCATGTGTATGGTCGGTGAGCGTCTTAACCGCTATGCCACCGACGCACATATATATTTATTATATATTATTATTATATTATTATATATTATTGTTTGATTTCATCAGCCTGAAAAACTACTCGAAACTTTACGAAAAATAAAACAATTAGATGATTTATGTGATCTACACGGGAAATCTGATATCAGTCCAATTGGATATGGTGTACCAATAGTAAATACCGTTAGTTCATTGAAGACTAAAGATGAAAGTAGAACTTTAACCGATCAGGTAGGTTGTTAAAACATTATTATTAATATTACTGTTATTACTTTTTTAAAACGATTTTTATAGCCTAAAAATGTATTACTTAACCTGTAATGAGTAGTATGATGTAGTTGAAAGCATGCGGCATCTGGCATCTATTCAGGCCAGTTGGTAAAATTACATCTTTAAGCCAAGTTAAACTTAGTTAAGCACTACTAACTACCAATCAGCTAATTACATCGAATTGTCCAATGAGATTCATGCACGTGAATTCAAGGTTGTATAACGCTTGATTCGTTTCAAATGCACGTTCTAATGAAGTTACGGCTGCAGTTCGAGGAGGATAATGTTTCTCAGTATTGCCTGGATTTGAGGTTGCTTAGGATAGAGACGGATGATTTGTTCATGTTGTGGTGTCATGAGTTTAAAAAGCTTTAGCCGGTCGATTGATGGATATGTCCATCGGTGTGTAATTTGTTTGAGACGAGTTAGTATTAGAGAAGGTGAGCTGATAATTTTAATATTTCGTAGGGACATTTTTTGATAGGTCGCATCTCTCCCTAACCCAGATTTTGCATATTTCTAACTTCTGGGTTTTAAAACAGCCTGTAGCAGGCGCAGCTGCTGAAACCGAAAAAAGCCTCGTATCAACAGGTCAGTGGTGCCAGCACTTCAGAGACATTGCATCATGGAAAATGGAGAGAATTACTCCGTTGATGGGTGGAGAAGACATTGTCGTACACATGGACGAAACTGTGTTACTGAAGAAAAAATACAACCGTGGTCGTAGGCGAGCCAGCAATGTTGGATTGATTGGTTTATATGACACCTGCCTACGGAAAGGATTCGTGGAGAGAATACCGGACAGAAAGTCAACTACTTTAATACCTATTATTACTAGACTTGTAAAATAGGGATCCATAGTGTACATACTGATGAATAGAAAGGTTATAACTCGCTGTCATCTCTTGGATATATTCATCACAGAGTGAACCATTCCAGTGATTTTGTGGATCCCATTACGGAGACACACACAAATTCTATAGAGGGATTTTGGGGATGACTAAAAAATTAGGATAAGGGCTATATATGGATCTCAAAAGGATCTCATTTGTAATTATTTGGATGAATATATGTACAGGAGATGTGGTGTAACTTTTCTGTTGACAATTCTATGCTAAACTGGGAGATGTGTTTCTCTCACATATTAGAGAAAGATACCCTATGTAACAGTTTTATACAGTTTTTATGCTTTTTTCTTCCTTTATTGAAAATCCCTCTTTCATGTGATTGATCCGTTGAAGTTCGTTTGCCTGATCGGTAGTTAATGGTGCTTAAAGTTTAACTTTGCCCGTCTTCAGACTATTGATCTTATTATTATTATGCCTACTCTTAGTTTTGCATTCTGCGTGTTCTGAGTGTAGCACAAGTCTTTGGTTTACAGACTTTCATTTCCTACTATTCACATATCACGCTCTCAGACTTTCAGTTTATTGCTTTCTGTGTGAGTTCCTCCATTCGAAGACCTTGTTTTTGTTGTCCATTAATGAGATAGATATCTTCTCACTGTTAGTATTCTAATCCATCTCTATTTCTTTCTAAACATTTGTTCAAACAAAAGGCTTTGCTATACTGGTTCATTTCTAAATTCCCTTTTTGCGTATTCTTTCCAACCTTGATATCTGTGAGTGTACTGAGTGAAAACTCTTGTTGGTGAAAGTCTTCAGTGGACGAGTACACCAAGTGTCTAAATTGAACAGAAACCCTGATTTGAGATCTTTTGAAAAAAAAGGGTACTGAAATGTCTCAGTATTACTGTGTAAAAAATTGAATAAACCAACTAATATGAAATTACTTACTACCACAGTGCCCGAGTTTTACGCATTTATTAAAGCCGTTTTAAACATTTGTTTGTTATTATTACACGCTTTATTTTGTAATGACTAATTGTACTACTTAAATAAAACTAATGAGTAGTCTAACTTGTATTAGTTTAAAATCACTCCTAGACAAGATAGAACATGACAAAAAAAGTTCACTTATGAGTAAATCAACTGATAGAAATCTGATAAATTCAATAGAATCACATACAGAGTATAAAAGGGTATCAAAGATACCATTAAAGGTAACGATGAAAACAATCAGAGAATCGTTTACATTGTATGTGTGAAGGCGCTGGCTGTCTTTAATGGGGTGTTTGCATTCTGTCTCTTTTCCCCCCGAGGTGTTAGACTTCGGTTAAGTGTTAGATAATGAGGGAAAATCATATCTATGAGATTACAAAGTTACATCAGTTGAGATAGTTAGGACATGTGATGCGTATACCTAGTTAGCAGTTTTCTCGATCGCAAGTGTGTTAGCTACTGAGATAGGATCAAGTTGGAAAAGAATGAATCCATGGAATTATTAATAGCAGTTAGAGCTTGAGTTAGCCACATAGGGAGGGAGGTGTAGACTATTTGGTTGGGGGGGGGCAAGTGGTGCAGATGCATTCACCCTGTTGGGATTTCCGACATCTATTAAATCCTAATTATGTGCTTCATTAATTATGACAAATTCAAATAGTGAATTTCTGTTCAAAATTCTATTTTGAATCTCACTCACTTACACTCACTTAGTCAGTCAATCAGTGTGTGAAGATTAAACATACTCACTGACAGTGTGAAATAGGCACAACATCAATTATTCAACTTTTCTGGATTAATCTGATATTCTAAAGCAGTATAGCTCATCTGGACAACTAACCCGTGGATTTACACGGAGTTGAAAATCAGTCACACCTGCTATAGCAGCCGGTGAAGATTACGGACCAGCTACCCTCGAAAATAGTAACTCATAGATGAACAGATCGCATATAAACTATCAAGGAATCAGTACATCTTTTTTTATTTCTTCACGTTCTCAGTAGGACATAGGGCTTCAAGTTAGAGAGGCCTGAAGTTCCTGTAGCACTGGTGTTTATTTTTACAGGATATGGTTGCTAGCCTCATGCCCAACCTCTCCTCTTTGCCAGTTATATTACTGGCTTAGTGAGGTAAAGGAGTGCGTCTGTGGCCGGGGATCGAATCCCGGACTATGTTGTGCATGGTTGGCAAGTGTCCTAACCACTGTGCCACCGATGCACATCAATACCTTATTCACAGGATCTTTCATTTCGTTCGCCGATACAATTCACAGACTTTGTAAAGACGTGTAAAAATACGGTTTGCATAGGATAGACTGAGTATTCTTCAAATTGTGGATGTATTGACCACATTATTAGATTGTTGGAAGCAATCAACAAGAAGTTTTGCTTAACCTACCTAGCTTTCGTGCTTGTTGGTCCTCACGAGTCAACAGAGCCATAAATCTGCAATCACCATAAAGGAACTTATGCGTTCCCCCTTCTGAGATTCGAACCCACCCACTCAATGCTGTGATCAAACATGTTACCACTGGTCTGGCTATTTTAGGCTCACCATTAACCTCTTCTAGGAGTGTAATGGGTACTTTGACTGGATACTAGATAGTCACTCGACTGAGAGAATTCAATCTGCACCAAACAAAGAACAAGATGCATGATACTAGTTGCTACTACCTACTGTCTAATCAGAGTATCTGTCTGTCTGTCTGTCTGGCTGTCTACCTGTTTTCAACATAGAACTTTACACTGATATGCAATTTAGATGCTCTATATATGCATACAGCAGTAACATTGATGATGAAGAAGTTATTAATGATAATTCATGAAGAACAAGAACAGCTTTTTTTATCAAATCAACTGAATGAAAATACGTGTAATAGGAATGATTCAACACCTGTCCACTCGGATATCTGGAAAATTCTACTACCTCAGCGACGACAAATAGGAAGAAACAAAGAAAAATGTAAAACTCAAGTTTCGAAATCGTGTGATTATAAATGATGATATGATTATGAACAATAAATTTTGTTCGAAACGTCATCCAGTATACAGTACTGTTTCACTGTGTGATATATCTAATAAACAAACTAATATGGAATTGCATGGAGGGTTTCATCATCAGCTGACATCAGTTAGAGAACCACTGGAAAACCTGGGAGTACTGGACTGCTGTTTTGTCCTAGTTTGGGACTCTTCAGCAATACGCACCCACAGGGGTTCGAACCCAGGACCTTCTGGTTTCAAGGCGAGTTCGTAGGCCATTGAGCCACTGGGACCCGATCCAATGGTCCTTGAATTCTAACTTCTGCCAGTATGGAATTACTTACTACCACAGTGCCGAAGTTTTACACATGTATCAACACTTCACTCTTTATTTTTAAGAATAGAGCCCAGTTAAGTATTATTATTATTATTATTGTTCTCATTACTGATATAATATATTTATTTCTAAAATATTATTATTATATAGGTTGGTAAATGCTGTAAACATTTAGAATTTATGCATCAAAAGTGTCAAGAACGTTTAGATGAAATGATCGCCTTACAAAGTTTACTTGAATCAGCTGAAGTATACTACAACGTTCAATTGAAAGAAGTTGCTGTTGTTGTGAATGTAAGTCAAATCTATTTCAGCAGTCATCAACCCATCCGCCTCTCCCACCACCGTCATCACATCCGCTCTTTAATCTTCCCTTCTCTAATATTAATCATCCCCATTGAGACATAAAAAAACAAGCCAAGAAAATTTTCTTATTTTCGACTATTTCATTTTTTCATAGCTGTACGATCCATGGATAACCAAACTCTCCAGGAAGCTTTCTTGTAGTTGTTTGAATTCATTATCACCATTATCTTCACTAGGAATTCACCGAACACCGTGTTGAGAGAATAACGGGTTGTCTGTCTGTTTTCGACATAGACACTTTGTACCGTTGTGCGGTAGTTCAAGTCGCCACACACACTCCATATAGCACACAAAGCAAGAGAAGAAAGTAGAAGAAATGCATAATAGAGACAGTAAACAGAGGTGTGAGACAAAGGAGTAATAATAACGAAGAACAATATAGTTTCATTGGAAATCTTAAGTCACATCTTAAGTCACGCATCTGCTCCATTCAGAGCGATTTTGAGCTATATCACCAATTATCTGCAGCCATCATTGGTTCTTACTATCCGAGGACCTCAACCAGGAAGTCTATATCTTCCTACGTGACTGGCTTAAACTAACTGTTGTGGATTTCATTGACTGATGAAGCCATGTTTTGGTTTGACCACCACTAGCTAGCTCTTTTCCAGTCTGACCATATGTCAGCTAACATTGCACGTCAAGGAGGAAGGCGATCGATGGCTAGGTATACATGCGTAACACATATCCTAACCATCTCAGTCGATGTAATTTCACAGCCTCGTCGATTAATTTCCCCTCTCAACTACCTAGAACTCAGACCACGCCTAACCTAAATATTCCTCACCTTATTCTACCACTTCACACGGGAGATAAACCACAGGCACAGACGAAATCTCAGCACGGATACAGAGGGCTAGTTTCGCATATGCCAGTTTATGCCGTCTCCGGCTTAGTAGATGTGATATCCGGCTGGCTATCGACTAAAGGGCGGGTGTACTGCTCATCAGTCCTCTCCGTATTCCTTTATGGCTGTTGGTGAGACCAGGTTATTGAGAGTGGAAGACATGAAAATGCTGACTAGCTGTCTTTTGTCATAGGTGCCTGTGGTTTATCTCCTGTGTGAAGTGGTATAGACTAGGGTTACCAATACTGAGGTTAGGCGTGGGTTGAGTTCTAGGTAGTTGAGAGGGGAAATTAATCGACGAGGCTGTGAAATTACATCGACTGAGATGGTTAGGATATGTGTTACGCATGTATACCTAGCCATCGATCGCCTTCCTCCTTGACGTGCAACGTTAGCTGACATAGGGTCAGACTGGAAAGAAGCTTCAAGTGGTGGTCAAACCAAAATATGGCTTCATCAGTCAATGAAATCCACAACAGTTAGTTTAAGCCAGTCACGTAGGAAGATATAGACTTCCTGGTTGAGGTCCTCGGATAGTAAGAACCAATGATGGCTGCAGATAATTGGTGATATAGATCAAAATCCTCGTTCTCAATGGCTGGTGTAGATGCATTCACTCCTTGTGATTTGTAATTTCCAATGAAAGTATATTGTTCTTCGTTACTTCTATTCCTTTGTCTCACACCTGTGTTTACTGTCTCTATTATGTATTTCACCTTCTTTCTTCTCTTGCTTTTTGTGTTAGAAGGAGGGAGTGTGGTGACTTGAAGTGTTTTATTTCTACGTTGGGAAACTTCTTCATTCAATGAGTTAGTTAGTCAATTTTATTATTCATTCATCGGCTTTTATATTTCCCCTTTTATTTATTTATAGGCTTATGGTACCTATGGGAAACGTGTAGCAAATACTCTATCACAACTAAATGATGTAATTCATAAAGATGATATCTCCCCAAATTATACTACTACTACTACTGCTAATACTACTCATAAATTAGAAGGGGAAAAGTCTAAAGGAGATCATTTAGATGAATCATACTATTCAGGCAATGAATATGAAAGTTGTGGAGGTGGAGGATATTCTGGTGGTGATGACGACGACGACGATGATGTTGGGGATTACAATGACACTACTGGTGGTGATAATGACATGGATGAACGTCAACTAAGCGAACCAATCGAATTCAATACTGATGATAATCATCAATCGTCATTTAGTACTTCAAAGAAAATGTCAATGAATGTATTTAATTCACCTGTTGTTGTGAAATCAATTCATGAAAATCAATTGAATGATTCATTTAATACCATGGATTCATTGATGAATAGACCAATAGGGATAGCGACAGTAACAACCGCACCACAACAAACACCACCACCACCAACAACAACAACAACCTCACCATTTGGTTTTCCAATATTTCAACCAATATGTGATGCATCAGGAGATGTTGACTATAGGGTATTATTAAATCCTGCATTACGTAACCTTACAAATAATGATACTATGAATATTAACAACAGGTAGGTGTGAATATATATAGATGCATGCTTATTATCACGGATAATCTTCCCGATTGTAATGGGTTGGATGATCATGCGGGAAACCATAACATGGGGAGTGTGAAGACAGTGTTTGCAGATGATATATGTATTGTGTCTCTTATCCCATGTTGAGTGATATATTATATTATTATTATTTCCTTTAATTCCTAGAGGAACATAGAGCTTCAGTTGGGTTGCGTCTCCGTTGCGTTCGGTTCTCTGCTAAATTTTTCACCTGGCTCCAGGTCTACCCACATACTTTCATCTCCTCTTCACATGACCTCCTCCAAGTCACCCTCGCATTGACGACCAATTCGTCCCTTCCCTTTTGGGTTCCACTCAACCGCTGGCCTGTCTAGTGATGTCACTTGATGGGTTTTTTTCTCAGAGTATGGTCATCCAATCCACCTCCATTTCTTCTTGCTTATTTGTCGTACAATCGGATCCTGTTATTGGTTCGTTCATTGTCAGAGATCGCTGTTGTTGATGTTTTCTGGCTGGCCATCTGATCTTGAGTAGTATTGAGCGAAGACAGCTAGCTGTTAATGAAGGTCTGTAGTTTGTTTAAGGGGCTCTTTATGACGCGCAGTGCAAGTCTCTGATCCGAATAGTAAGTAGTACTGACTTCACATTGGAGTCGAAAATTTGGATCGTATTTTTTCCATTCTGAGTAGTGCTGTTGACCTCCACACAGACTTGAGAGTAATGAAAGGTTGTCTTGCTTTCCCGATCCTTGCTCTGATGATATCCCCATGAGTTCCGTCCACATGTAGTTGGAACGATGCTTCCCAGGTAGGTAGATAAAGGAGGTTGTTTCTTTCAGGTTCCTCCGATTTTTGCTGGCTGATTGTTGTCTGTTGTGGTTTTTGCTGTTGGTGTTACCCAGTAATCTTCATCACCTCTGTTTTATATATGTTTACCTGAGGGAGGTCGTATCTTTGATGCTTCTTCTGCCAGCTTGTTGTTTTTCACTTGCATATCTTCCAGTTTGTGGGAAATCAGACGTATATCATCGGCGATATATAATAATAATAAGTTGAGCAATACTGACGTTAGGCTTCAGTCAATTGTTAGGTAAAGAAGGGAAATCAATCGACGAGGTTGTAAAGTTACACCGAGTAAGTAAGATCGTTAGGACATGTGTTATGCATGCATGCCTAGCCATCGATCGCGTGCCTAGCCTCGATGACGTGCAATGTTAGCTGATTGACATAGGATTGGTCAGGTTGGAAAATGGGCTCCCAGTGAAGATCAAATGAAAACATCATCATTCATCAGTTATTGAAATCCACAACAGTTAGCTTAAGTCCACCATGTAACTTTTGTTGTTATCAATCTCTCCCTCCATCCACTCTGTGACATTAGATTTTAAAACTGTCATCTTATCCCATCCATCCTATTGTATGGTTGTGTGTAATTGCATGTACTGAGTGCTATCTACGGCTGAACTATCCTCTAGATTTTGCTGCTAGGTTTTTATGTTTGGTCAGTCTGACTGCCCATGTCCTACTAGTTTGACCTATGTATTTGACCTGACAATCATCGCAGATTGGGCGTTAGATAAACTAAATTGTTTTGTTTTAAAGGTTCCACAGGATTGATCCTTCAACCGACAAAGCTTGTTTCTAATTGAGTTTGCGGGTGGTTTGAATGCCACTTTTATTCCTGCCTTGTTAAGAATTCTGTGTAAAGTTTCTGAGGTTCCTTCCTTGTTCCAACAATAAGGAATTCAAATCAACAGTAGTAATTTCATACAAGGAAGGAACCTCAGAAACTTTACACAGAATTCTTAACAAGGCAGGAATAAAAGTGGCATTCAAACCACCCGCAAACTCAATTAGAAACAAGCTTTGTCGGTTGAAGGATCAATCCTGTGGAACCTTTAAACAAAACAATTTAGTTTATCTAACGCCCAATCTGCGATGATTGTCAGGTCAAATACATAGGTCAAACTAGTAGGACAGGGGCAGTCAGACTGACCAAACATAAAAACCTAGCAGCAAAATCTAGAGGATAGTTCAGCCGTAGATAGCACTCAGTACATGCAATTACACACAACCATACCATAGGATGGATGGGATAAGATGACAGTTTTAAAATCTAATATAACAACTGGGTGGAGAGAGGTAGAGACTGATAACAACAGAAGCTTTGTTTATCGAACCAAGTGAATGAAAATATGTGTGACTGGAATGATTCAACACCTGTCCACTCGGATATTTGGAAAATTCTACTACCTCAACGACGACAAACAGAAAACAACAAAGAAAACTATAAAACTCAAGTTTCGAAGTCGTGTGATTATAAATGATGATATGATTATGAACAATAATAGATTGTTTTGGAAACCTTGTTATCTAATACATAATACTGTTTCACAGAGTGTGTGATACATCTAATAAACAAACTAATATGGAACGTAAGAAGCCTGTATTCGTCGGAAGCAAAACAAAGCGAACTGGGGAAAATAAAGAAAACGCCGAAAGAGTAAACTATCGAAATCTGTATTCTTTCATCTTTTTTGTATTTTATTATTATTATTGCTCCCTTGGATTCCTAGTGGAACATAGGGCTTCAATTGCATGTCTGCACTTGCTTCTGTATTCTGCTGTACTTTTCACCTGCATCCATTTAGTCCATACTGTTTCAATTCCCTTCACACGATCTCCTCCATGCCAACCACCCTTGGACGTCACACTCGCCGCTTCAATTTCGGGTTCCACTCGAGCAATGGCTTGACGCGCGCTCGATGTCACCCAGCGGCCTCCTCAGCGAGTAGTGTCCAATCCATTGCACTTTCTCCTGCATATTTGTTGGTTGGCGATTGGTTCTTGTTTTGTTTGTTTGTGCCCATAGTTTCTTGTTGGTGATTCTTTCCGGCCCGGCCATCTGATCTTCAGTATAGAGCGAAGATATTGTTGATGAAGGTATGCAATAGCCTGTTGTAAATAGTCTTAGTGACCCGCTAAGTTTCTGTCGGACCTGTATAGAAGAACTGACTGACTTGACGTTTGTATTGAAAATCCGACCGAATTTTGTTGTTGATGATGGCTGAGTGACGAAGATTTCCAGATTGATTTCAGGTTGATGAATGTGTTTCTCGCCCCCCTCCCCGATTCTCGCTCCATTTGACATCCTCGTTCGTTCCAACTGCCTGTAGTTGAGACAATGCTCCCTCCCTAGATAAGTGAGTGAATGAAGTGACCCTTTTAAATCCCTCCCGTTGGTGGTGATTGACGCTGGATGTTGCTGCTGTTGTTGTTTAACTCTAACATTCTTTTTAACTGGTTTTTTGCATTCTTCTCTTTTCAAGAAGTCAAGAAATCAATCAATCATTGAAGTCATCATCCATAGATGGTATAAATCCTGATAAAACAGGACACAACATCATCTGACAGATCTATCTAGTGATAATGATAATAATAATGATAAAAGTTTTCATAAAATACGATTCCCTGTAAAACAACAACGACAACTTAGTCCAAATATGACAAACACAGTTTATCCTAATAAAGTTGTATTGACTACCACAATGGAACCTGAACCAATTGAAAATGAACCGTTTTGTAAGGATGGTAATCATAATGAAGATGAGGCAGGAGAAGACGAAGACAATATGGAAGTATCTGATGGTGAAGATCCTGAAGTCGACAATGTAGACAACGACGACGATACAAAGAAGAAGAAGACGACGACGATGAAAAAGGCGAATGTTGACACTATCCAGCAGCTTATAACTTCAGATACACAAGATAAAGATTGGCGGATATTTACGCAACAATTACCACCTGAAGTCAGGCCAGTAAGTTCTATAGCTGAATTTGTTTTTTTTCTTCCTTTTTCTGGTTCAAAAGTTATTCTTGTATTTCTGAAAGACATCCGCCTGTCTCTGTCTGTCTGTTTTCAACATAGAACTTTCCACCGATGTGCGGAAGTTCAAGTCGCCACACTCACTCCATGCAGCACACAAATCAAGAGAAGAAAGTACAAGAAAAGCATAATAGAGAGAGTAAGCAGAGGTGTGAGAAACAGGAAGAGTAATAACGAAAGACAAAACAGTTTCATTGGAAATCATAAATCACAAGGAGTGGATGCAACTGCGCTGTCATTGAGAACGGTTTTGAGCCATGTCACCAATTGTTTCTAGCCTTCATTGGTTTTTACCGTCCTGAGGACCCAACCAGTCAGTCAGGAAGTCTACACCTTCCTACGTGACTGGCTTAAACTAACTGTTGTAGATTTCATTGACTGTTGTGGCCAAGTTTTCGTTTGACCGCCGATAGCACTTTTCCAGTCTCACCCTATATCCGCTAACATTGCCCATTGTCGAGGAAGGCGATGACCAGGAATACGTAACACATATTCTAACCATCTCAGTCCTTGTAACTTAACAACAACTCGATTGATTTCCCCTGTTTACCTAGAACTCGACGCCTAACCTCAATATTGTTCGCCTTATTATGCCACTTCACACGGGAGATAGAACGCAGGAACCTATCATCAAAGACAGTTAGCCAGCCTATTTTGATGTCTTCCACTCTCAATGGCCAGGTCTCACTAACAGTCATAAGGGAGGACGGAGAGGACTGATGAGCAGTACACCCGCCCTTTGGTCGATAGCCAGCCGGATATCACATCTACTCAGCCAGAGACGGCGTAAACTGGCATATGCGAAACTAGCCCTCTGTATCCATACTCAGCTGAGATTTCGTCAGAGATCAACCCGTTGACACTGGCTAATGGTACTTCCCATATAAGTGAAGCGGTCAACGTGCTGTACCACTTCACTCCCTATTTCTAGGCTAGGAGTCAGTGTTGTCTAGTCCACTCCTGTAACATCATCTTGCATTTGGCGAGAGCGAACCGCATGCCAAACATTCGTAGATTGCAGCTCAAGTTGTTCAGGAGACTCTGTATTTTGTCAACGTCCTCGCCTAGTAGGACTATATCATCTGTATACATATACTACGTCGACGAGATTATTCTCTGGTAACAAGTAAATCCCTGAGTCGCTGAAGTGAGTCAGGGTTAAGTCCATTAGTACATCTATGATGAAGTTGAAAAGAAAAGGCGATAATGGGCATCCTTGACGGACATCACAAGTCGTCATCAGTTCAGATGACCACTCACCGTAAGCCCTCACCTGGCTGCATGAGTACGAGTAGAGTGCCTTAATCAGTGTAATGTATTTTTTCGTCATTCCATTTACAGCCAAGCATCTCCAGAGAACCTTTCGATCGACAGAATCGGATTCCGGCTTTAGGTCAAGGAATATAATGGTTACTGGGCGTTGGTAGGAATGACTATGTTCTAGAATCTGTCGGAGGGTGAAGATATGATGAATACACTCTTCCTGGTCTAAAGCCTGCCTGGTTCTCACGTGTTTGTGCCTCCCGAAATAGAATATTTGATGAACAAACTTTACAGTGGTGGTGTTGCGTCGGTAGCGCAAGGTTAGGATACTCACCAGCCAGTCAGGTAGGTGCTCCGGCGTTCAGTCCTCTGCCACTCCACAAACCTCGCTTCGCTAATAATTAACCAGGCAAAGAGGCAAGTTTGGGTGGGTGTGAGGCTAGCAATCTAACTCAGTAAACATGAGACCACTGGAGGTCAAACTTCAAAGCCTAATGTTCCATTGGGAACGCAAAGGAATTAAGAAAAAACTCTGAAATGGTTAGAGATTTAGACGATATTTTCAAGCATTGGTTTTGTAGGGATTTTGTTTGAATGTATGGAGGATTTCACCATGAGCTGACATAAGTTAGAGAACCACTGGAAAACCTGGGAGTGCTGGACACCTGTTTCACCCGTCCTAGTTTGGCACTCTTCAGCAGTACGCATCCACCATCAGGGTCCTAACCGGGGACCTTCTGGTTACAAGGCGACCTGGTAGACCATTGAGCCACTGGGACTAGAATTCAAGAACCATTGGACCGGGTCCCAGTGGCTCAATGGTCTACGAGCTCGCCTTGCAACCCAGAAGGTCATCGGCTCGAACCCTGGTGGTGGACGCGTACCGCTGAAGAGTCCCAAACTAGGACGAAACAGCTGTCCAGAACTCTCAGGTTTTCCAGTGGTTCTCGAACTTACGTCAGCTGATGGTAAAATCCTCCATACATTTAGACGATAGGTTTGAATTATTACTACTAAAACACAAACTTGGTATATTATGAGCGCACTAAGGGATGCACCACACACACACACACACAAACAATCTCATAGTTCCTACGAGGGTTGGGATAATTACCGTCTAGGCGAATAAACCGAAACAGATGGTTGTTCTAAAGGACCATCTCTTCCTGAAATGTTCACTTGAAATCTGATCTACAAGGTAGTAGAACAGCATGATGAACTGCATTCCAATGGTAGCCAAAACAGGTTTATACGTCATTCCAAGCTTTCGGATTCTAAAGGCCATCCATGTTTACACCATTGAGTTTGGAATAATCAGGGCTTTTAAGCTCTTCTAGTTAGACTTTGCTGCATGTCTACTAGTCTGATTGTCCACCCCTAAGATGTTCGAATTCATTCTTTCACTTTTAGTGTGAGAAACTCTGTCTCCACATGAAGGTAATGAATAGTACTTACATGACAAAACGTGTAGCCATATGAGGGCATGTTGAGGGGGAAGGCTGAAGTCCATCCACCGTCGAGCATATCACATTGTTTGTGGGGATTGACTTCCTTATACAACTTGTCTGTGTTAACGTAGCATGTTAAATTATCAACTGACTAACAATGTTATCGAAATGCTTATTCGACAAAATAACCACTGCTTGACGTTGGAAACAAATCACAGCTTAACGAATAGTCTCAGATTCAAGTAAACTGATGTAAAAACATCGGATGATTATTTCGCTTATTCAGCGGGGGTTAGTCCATGTGCCTGGTTTGGCTGAGCTCAAAAAGCATACCATTTGTTTTATTCTGCACCTCAAAATGTATATATCACCGGCAGACTATGAGATCTTCAATTCGCGTTTAATTTTTCCTGTTAATCGATTAGACCGAAATGTCAGCTTCTAATGAAGACGATTCGACGATGTCTGAGGATTTAACTTGAAGTGATTTGAATCCGCCAGGATGTGCTTTTCGTCCTATTCGGGACTCGTCATGTGGATGCATTTACCTACATTTTCTGGTTAATTAGTAGTAGGGTCCTTCTACGCCCCCCCCCCCACCACCACCACTGAACCCACTTGAACCAAGTACTCATCGTTCAGTCTCTGTTAACATACTGACAGTGAGAACACCATCATTCATCCAGTGCGGAATGTAGTTACTTTCAGATGATGAGTGGCAGAGATGGTACGAAATGTGTATTTTGGATTCCATATCCACTGCTAGTCTCCATTCACCAAACTATTATTATTATTATTATTTAAACGCAGAAAAAACTTGGTACAATATGGCACCACGAAAGATGCGCCACACAATAATAATAAAACAACATAGATCAAAAGTAAAAAAAATATAAGTAGAAAACGAATAAAGAACTTCATCTGGAAGGAAAACAGTCGTACTTAACAAATTCAAGCAGTATTCGTCAACTAATAATCGAGAAGGGAAGAAAGAAGGTAATAGCAACACATTCGCCATTCATTACGATTCTTGACCATATCCGATAACGTTTCAAGCCATCGATTCGAGCTATCTCTCGGACCCCAACCAGGGGTTCGTGACGCACCAGTGGTTAGGATTCTCGCCGACCTTGCACATGGTCCAGGGTTTGAGCCCTCGCCGACGCACACCTGATATCTATGGTCGGCCTGCGAATTTTGGGCTACCGATATCCACGCTGAAAATTCCATACTTGTACCAAAAGTACGGTGTGGAATCAAGCTGTAATCAAAAATAAATAAAATAATAAAATGCTAATCTAGCACAAAATCCTTCATCCCACGATGCCACGTTATGGACTGACCACCCTTGACCACGCCTTTTCCATCCCGTCTCAGGGCCAGCGAACAGAGACCTGTACGGAAGCCTTCGGGATGACATTCGCAGCACATGTCTAGGCCTCCGGGGCCGGTGTTTCCAGGTGACGAAACTCAGTGAATTGTCATCTCCACTGTGTTCAGACACACGCCGCCGAACCTCAGAATTACTCACGCGATGACGCCATCTATCGAACGCAAGCAATCCTGAGGAGACAGCAATGATCGAACACGCAGAGTCGCCGCCGCACATCCTCAGCCTACTCGGAGAGGCCAGGTTTCACAGGCGTAGAGCAGCGCAGCCCTCACCGAAGCATTGTATGCCCGACCTTTGACAGCCAGGCTAACGTCGCGACGTTGGTGCCATAGGTGGCTCAAGTTGATGTATGCCACCCTAGCCTTCATTCTACGGTTGTAAATCCCATCCGTCACCCCTCCCCCAGTACTCACACTACTACCCAAAAACACAAACTTATGAAGTGAATTAAATCACCGACTAATTGAACTTCAGGGGAGAACTTTGCACAGAAGTGTTCAGTGAACAGTTCAACTTATTACCACACTTCTATGTATCACAGAAAGGCATATGTATGACACAAAAAATTAATAACACATGTAAAGTTATAAAGATTTAATGGATCTCCGATCAGGGGGTAGGTTGGGTGATTAAAAAGAAAGAGTAAGTGCTACTACTACGCATCATTTTAAACGCTTTTAAAGTTATCTCACTGTGTTCATTTTTTGATAAAACATTCTAAACTTGACATTTTTACAACTGTATGCTTTTTTATAACACACACACACATTTTTGTCTCTCTTTTTTTAGTTATCTCATCTTTCACCATCGTCATCATCATCTACAGCTCCTAGTGGAAATATTCCATCTCCTTGTATACGACGACCACCAGTGCCATTGCCGCCGCCGCCACCACCCCCACCAGCGAAGGATCCAATCGGTTGGACTCTACCGCTTGAACCAATTCTCCAGCCAATTATCCCAATCAATCAATCAAATCCTCTGCCTAGTCCTTCACCGATTTGTATACCTCCACCGCCTCCACCTCCACAATTTGTTGGTGTTGGTGTTGGTGCTGGATTAGGACGCGGTCAACAGTCATTTAGTCCACCGCCACCACCACCACCACTCCCTTCAACATTGAATGAATTAACAGGTTATCATCATATCCCAACAGCAGTACTAGGAGGAGGGGGAGTAGTGGTAGCGCCACCATTGCCGCGGCCACGGCCACTGCCTCCTCCACCTCCACCTCCACTACTGTGTCCACCACCTCTTGTTGTACAACCACCCATATCACCAGCATTGCATATGGATAAAATCAATATGATCTCAAATGATTATAATAATAATAATAATCTATTAACGAAGAGTATTGAACCCAATGTTTTAATCCCGCCTAAAGTTACCACCGCGTCTTCTACTGCTGCTGCTGCGCCGCCTCCTCCTCTTCCTACTTCTACGGCTAATTCATCAGCAACGACTCAATCACAAAATTATTCAGCTTTTGATTTATTGAAAAATTTATGTCAATCCAATGTCACAATGAGTGGTAGTGGTCTTTCAAAACCTTCATCGTCATCAGTGTCTTTACCGACTTTTCCATTATCGTCAACAATTCCAGCCTCTAGTAGTATATCAAAGGAATATTCTAGGAGTATACCTTGTGAACAAGCAATAAATTCAACAGTTTCCGCTACTGGTCGTCCTGATGGCAGTGGTGGTGGTGGTGATTTATTGAATCCATCAAAAGTTAGTCATACATTGATGCATGAGACGAATAGTAATCCACTTGTAAATAGTGATGATAACAATACTACTACCACTACTACTACTACTAATAATAATAAATCAACAGAAGATCCATTTGCTATTATTTCTCGACTAACTGGTCTTTCTAATTTAATAAAGAAGTAGGTTATTTCAAATTATCCGTAAATGAATATTATTATTATTATCATTACTATTATCATTATTATTAATTGTGTTTCACTTTCGATTAATTTTCAATGGTACACATGACCATCTAATGGAGATTGCATTTTACCATCCTGCCCAACAACCTGCTCTTGCCAAGAGGGAATAGACTTCAATCTTCCTATCGAAAAGGCTCTCTCTCTCTTTCTCTTCTGGTCACAAGTTCATAACCTTCTAACGAAATGGGAAATAACTCCGTTGACTTACTTAGAATATGCATGTGGATGAAGTCTGACCCTTTGTGTGTGTGTGAGAGGTTTCTTCTTTCTTATCGGTTGATAAATTTTGCCTATCTCTATGTGTCTATTGATTGATGATTCACTGGAATACCAGGCGGGCTTCGAAAAATTCTCTAGCATTCTTGTTGTTTCCTCTGTCTAATATTTGAACTTTGGTTGTCTCGGTCGAATTGATGTCCGTTTGTTTCTGTATGTAGTGATATGAACGAGGGAGTGGATGTCATCATGTCTTTTGACGGCTAGCTTATGTTCATGGGTACGAAGACGAAGGGAACGTCCACTTTGACCAATGTAGTGTCTTTCGCAGTTGTTACAATTTATATTTTGTAGATGATGATGTTGGTTATATCTTCTTCCGCTGTTGGGTCTTTTGATTGACAAAGAGTCAGCTGAGTGAAGTGATTTTGTTGGTTTGTGTGCGACGTCAATTCTTAAGGGTTTGAAGAGTCTTGTAGTGATCTCTGAGATGTCCTTTATATATGGTAGGGTGATTTTATTTGTGCTTTCCTTGGCGGCTTTTGGTTTGATAGGTTGGCTTGGGGGTATTACGTCTTTTGATGAAATTCCGTGGATATCCATTCTTTTGGAAGACGTCTATGAGATATTTTTCAATTTTCCTTGAGGTAGGTGGGAGTGCTGCAATGAGTCCTTGCCCTCTGCTTGTGCAGAAGCAGTGATGCAAAGACTCTTTTCTGTCATATCGAATAAGCTACTTAGATGACACGGCCATTATATGCAACGAGAAGGGCAGTTTGGATATAACAACATGACAGTCATCCTGTTGTCATCCAGAGTTCACCTTAGAAAAAGAAACTGAATGAAAAACTATCTTTCCTTGATGCACTGCTCACACAAAGAGAGCTGATGGGTCTTTACAAAACAAATCTGTTTACAGAACATCGACCTGGGCAGGACAATTGACCAATTTTTGCTTACAATTTTTGTCCTCATAGACAGAAAAAGAAATCTAATCCGTTTTCTTACGGCGAGTTGTCATCTGAACTGATGACGACTTGTGATGTCCGTCAAGGATGCCCATTATCGCCTTTTCTTTTCAACTTCATCATAGATGTACTAATGGACTTAACCCTGACTCACTTCAGCGACTCAGGGATTTACTTGTTACCAGAGAATAATCTCGTCGACGTAGTATATGTATACAGATGATATAGTCCTACTAGGCGAGGACGCTGACAAAATACAGAGTCTCCTGAACAACTTGAGCTGCAATCTACGAATGTTTGGCATGCGGTTCGCTCTCGCCAAATGCAAGATGATGTTACAGGAGTGGACTAGACAACACTGACTCCTAGCCTAGAAATAGGGAGTGAAGTGGTACAGCACGTTGACCGCTTCACTTATATGGGAAGTACCATTAGCCAGTGTCAACGGGTTGATCTCTGACGAAATCTCAGCTGAGTATGGATACAGAGGGCTAGTTTCGCATATGCCAGTTTACGCCGTCTCTGGCTGAGTAGATGTGATATCCGGCTGGCTATCGACCAAAGGGCGGGTGTACTGCTCATCAGTCCTCTCCGTCCTCCTTATGACTGTTGGTGAGACCTGGTTATTAAGAGTGGAAGACATCAAAAATGGCTGGCTAACTGTCTTTGATGATAGGTTCCTGCGTCCTATCTCCCGTGTGAAGTGGCATAATAAGGCGAACAATATTGAGGTTAGGCGTCGAGTTCTAGGTAAACAGGGGAAATCAATCGAGTTGTTGTTAAGTTACAAGGACTGAGATGGTTAGAATATGTGTTACGTATTCCTGGTCATCGCCTTCCTCGACAATGGGCAATGTTAGCGGATATAGGGTGAGACTGGAAAAGTGCTATCGGCGGTCAAACGAAAACTTGGCCACAACAGTCAATGAAATCTACAACAGTTAGTTTAAGCCAGTCACGTAGGAAGGTGTAGACTTCCTGACTGACTGGTTGGCGTCCTCAGGACGGTAAAAACCAATGAAGGCTAGAAACAATTGGTGATATGGCTCAAAACCGTTCTCAATGGCTGGAGAAGATGCATTCACTCTTTGTGATTTAAAAGACAATTGCAGCGAAGAAAATTTTCTTTTCGACGAAGTCATCATCTAGGTAGCTGTACATTCGTGTATGTACATCAAGTGGATGGGAAAGTTCCAGAATAATTTCCGGTTAAGGGTCAAATTAATAAAAATTAAAATTAGGAATTAGAATGCCATGATAAACAGGGGGACGGATAAAACTCAAACAAAGTAGCATCATAATTACTAGGGAGATTGACATTGTGCAATTGGGGGGTTAGAAATGTAGAAATAACAAAAATAGACATGATGTTTGGATAAAAACTAATGTGATGAATAATTGTTTATGTAATCAGGGATTAAATATGTACAAATAATAAAATGACAAAATAAACAGAAAGTTTGGATATGAAAATATGGTAGTGTAAACAGGGATTAAGAAAAACTTAAAATAACATGAATAAACAGGAAGTTTAGAAAAGAAAATTTTCTTCGCTGCAATCGTCTTCTTTGTGATTTGTAATTTCTAATGAAACTGTATTGTTCTCCGTTATTACGATTCGTTTTGTTTCGTATCCCTCCCTGTCTACTGTCTCTATTTTGCATTTCATCTACTTTTTTCACTTACTTTGTTTGCTACATGGAGAGAGTGGCGATTTGAACTGCTGCACATCGGTGCAAAGTCCTATGTCGAAAACAGACAGACAGAACGAACTGGTGTGGAGTGTCCTTTCTCTTGGGTTCTGAAGGAAACAAATGGATTTCAATGCCATATGTCCATTTCAGCTTGTTCTGTTTAGCCTATTGTTTGTTTATTAGCTGGCGCCATGATTGATTGTCGGTAAACTCTCCTTTTGCTTGAACTTTCACTCTACTCGTTGTTGCTTATTCAGGTTCCACTGGAAGGCTTGTCTTTTGTGTGATCAGTGTGTTTGCGTGTGTGTGTGTATCTGTGTGTTCCATCCATCTAAATATTCTCTTTTGCATAGTTGTTGGAGTTGCTGGAATTTCATAATGTTTATCTTTTATGGTTGACCACTGAAGGTCTGTGGTGAGGCCAACTAAGTTGACGAATGGGAGACCAGACCCTCTTTACTGGCAAAGGTGCCGTGTATAGCAGATCAGCAGATGTTAGGATCCTTTGATTGGACTCAAGTGACTAGTGTCATGCGCCTAGTCCTTTCTTTGGTGCAGACTGAATTCTATCGGTCAGTCGGGTTTGCAATGTGACCACTAATCTAGGTAGCTCACCACCACGGTGCATATTAATTTGATGATATTGGATAGTTGGAGGCAATCGGCCACTGGAAGCCTTCCCGGGACCTAGGTTTCGAGCTAGTTGCAAACCTGAATGGTAGAATTCAGTCGCAACCAAATAAAGGACTAGACGCATACCACTAGTTACTGACTAGTGTCCGATCAAAGTATCCACTACAGTCCTACAGGAGGTCAATCGCGAGCCAGTCCGAACAGCTCAGTGGTAACGTCTTTGACTGCAGACAGCACTGAGTGAAAACGCGGGTTCGAATCTCAGAGGCAGCGACATGAGTCCCTTCAAGGTGATTGCAGATACGCCTTGCTGATTGACTGGTGATTGCCAACTAGCACAAAATCTAGGTTGAGCAAGGCTTCCTGTGGCTGATTCCCTCCAACCATCTAATATCATCAGATGTTAGCATCACTGGATTACTTCTTGGAGTCATTGGTGCGTACTATTGAAGAGTCCGTTGACTGTTGATTGGTTTTCATAACTCTTTGACTGATTTCAATTTGTGATCTAATCTTTGGTGACAGAGACAGTTTCACATTTGATTTATCATGTATGTTATGATGATATATTTCTCATATCGATTAATGATGTGTGCGTCGGTGGCACAGCGGTTAGGACGCTCGCCGACCATGCACATGACCCGGGGTTCGATCCTCGGCCACAGACGCACTCCTTTACCTTGCTAAGCTAGAAATAATACTGGTAGAGAGGAAAGGTTGGGCATGAGGCTAGCAACCCTATCTTGTAAAGATAAACACTGCTACAGAAACTTCAAGCCATTAGCTTGAAGCCCTATGCTCCACTGGGGAAAGTGAAGGGAAAAAAATCGATTAATGACAGTCACAATCAATTTGAAAATAATATCTATTCACACATAGATTTTTATTTATTTATTGGTTTGTTTTATTTTTGCAGTATTCCAATACAATCAAGTTTGAGTGCAATCCCAGTGACTTCTCCAACTTTAATCAATTCTACAGAATCTTCACGTGATAATAATAATAATAATAGTGAGATGTCCAACTGTCGTCTCCAATCAATACCAACAACAACAACAATAATAATAACAGAGGGATTAATGAATACTTCACCTGCTTTTATTACTCCTCCGATCACTACTCATACGTATACTCCATGCTCTGCCGCTAAACGTTCTAGATTTTCAGATATTCCACTGTCGGAAGGTGGAATTGTTGACCAACGGACAATACCGTTAAGTGTATGTACTACTGAACAACTACAACCAGTGTTATCATCTAATAGTACAGTTCCGTATTCTTTCTCCTCTGTTTCCTCTTCGGCTTCCTTCGCTTCTTCTTCTTCGACTTCTTTTCCATCTACTAGTTTAGATATAAATTATTCATCTAATGGGAAATTATCAATTTCAAATAGTTTTAATAATGATCTTTATGATGAAAGTATTCATGAGAGAAGAGATCATTCAATGACAAGTAATAATAATAATAATATTAATAACAACAGTATTGGTGATGATGATGTTGGCGATTGTGACGATGGTAGTGATGGTAGTGGTGGTGGTGATACACCTACTCAAGATGAAAGAGAAGATGATCATCATCATCCAATCTCTGGTATTCCACAAAACAGATCCTTAGGATCGATTCATCCATTCAATACATCAACATGTAAGTTACAACTGTTTTTTTTTAAACTTATTTAATCTTGTCATCAGTTCTGTCTGTCTGGATTCAACATAGAACTTGGCACCGAAGTGCAGCAGTTCAGTTATATTGAAAAAGGGTTATAGATAGGCTGAGATGAGGGATGGCGGGGGTGGGTGGTGCTAGTGGTGATAGATAGTCAAACTAAAACCCTGTCATAAATCCAAAATGTTCAAGTGTTGGTTTGTAGGGATTTGGTTGATTGGTTTACAGGACTTCATCATGAGCTGACATTACTTAGAGAACCATTGGAAAACCTGCAAGGAATACTGGACAGTTGTTTCGTCCTAGTATGGGACTCTCCGCCAGTACGCACCCACCACTACCAGGATTCGAACCCAGGACCTTCTGGTTACAAGGCGAGCTAGCTCGTAGACCATTCAACATCCACTGGGACCCTATCCAATGGCCGGTCCATGAATTCTAACTTCTGCGAATTCACGACATACAGCGACGGGCACTAGCCAATGTCTTCGGCGAGTATTTGTCTTCACACCTGACCAGCTGCACCCTACTGGTCACGGCTTCTCACTTAAAACCAACACTTGAATATCAATGAGATGCTCACTAGCGACTTGCCCTATTCAGGTAGGTAGTAGTTACCTGGGATTCTAGTGAGAAGTCGTGACCAGTAGGGTGCAGCTGGTGGGGTGTGGGGACAAATACTCGCCGAAGGCATTGGCTAGTGCCCGTCGCTCTATGTCGTGAATTGGTAGAAGTTAGAATTCATGGGCCATTGGATCGGGTCCCAGTGGCCTAATGATCTACGAGCTCGCTAGCCTTGTAACCAGAAGGTCCTGGGTTCGAACCCTGGCGGTAGGTGCGTACTGCTGATGAGTCCCAAACTGGGACGAAACAACTGTCTAGCACTCCCAGGTTTTCCAATGGTTTTCTAACTAATGTCAGCTCATAATGAAATCCTGTAAATCCAAAGTGTCTCTGACTGTGTTGTTGTTAGCTTGAGCCAGCTACTTTGTAGGAGGTGGAGAGAGACAGAGTGGCCCTTAGGATACTAAGAACTAATCTGCCTGTTTTCGACATAGGACTTTGCACCGATGTGCAGCTTTTGAAGTCGCCACACTCCTTCCTTGTAACACACAAATCAAGAGAAGAAAGTAAAAGAAATACATAATAGAGACAGTAAACAGGGGTGTGAGGCAAAGGAATAGTAATAACGAAGAACAATATAGTTTCATTGGGAATCATAAGTCACAAGGAGTGGATGCATCTGCGCCATTCAGTGCGATTTTGAGCTACAGCACCAATTGTTTCCAACCATTGGTTTTTACCGTCCTAAGGACCCCAACCAGTCAGTCAGGAAGTCTACACCTTCCTACGTGACTGGCTTTAACTGTTGTAGGTTTCATTGACTGATGAAGCCATGTTTTGGTTTGGCCGCCACTAGCTGTTTTCCAGCCTGACCCTATATCCTCTAACATCGCCCATTGTCGAGGAAGGCGATGACTAGGCATACAAATGTCCTAACCATCTCAGTCGATGTAATTTCACAGCCTCATCGAATGATTTCGACTCCTTACCTAGCACTCGACCCCACGCCTAACTTCAATATTGCTCACCTTATTATACCACTTCGCACAGGAGATAGGACGCAGGCACCTATGATCAAAGACAGCTAGCCTGCCTTTTCATGTCTCCCACTCTGAATGGTCAGGTTTCACCAACAGCCATAAAGGAGGACGGAGGGGACTGATGAGTAGTACACACGCCCTTTGGTCGATAGCCAGCCGGATATCACATCTACTAAACCAGAGACGGCGTAAACTGACATATGCGAAACTAACCCAATAACTTGAGACTATTGGAGATATGATCAGAAATGGTTGTTTTTTTTCTACGCGCAGATATATTCATCTTGTGTCATCTCTCGCAGATTCACAACGCTTCCATTCTATATCTTCTCATTTCTGCGGCTACTTGGGCAGCCTTTCCAGTTGCGTACATTGTACGAACATTCCACGTCCACGTCATCTTTCAGGTCTATTGAGTTTTCATGTTTCTGTATGTGTTACTACTCTTTCTTCTTCAAATTTCTTTTTCTCTCTCTACCCTCTTATCTTTGATACATGGAATATGGCAAGTTAACGTGGTGCTGACTGACTGCCTGACTAGTTTCAACGTAGAACTACTTTGCACAGATGTGCAACAGTTAGAGTTGCCACACTTCCTCTTTGTAGCGCACACAAAGCACATGGACCCCATCTTAAAGTGGTTACACTTGTGTGCAAAGTTCTCTGTTGAAACTGAGTCCGTGTTGTTTAGAACTTTGTCTATACAGTATAGCTGAGTAATCTAACTCCGAGATGTTAACAAATAGAAGACCTTGTCATCTTCTGTAATGTTCAGTAGATCCATGAATTATTGAGTCACATTCCGGTTGGAGAATATATCAGGTGCAAGTTAGTGAGTAGTAGTATAGAATGTGTATTGCATACAACTTTTAATTACTTCTTCAGCAATAGGGTCACTCTTTTATGCGGAATTCGGTGAAGTTAAACAATAGTGTCCCAGATAAGCGAACTCCCCAGAGACCTTGAACGCATGCTAGTCGTTGGCCAACGACGCCTGTCATTATAATAGCTCAAATATGAACGCTACTCACTAACTAAGAAGTGAATTTCACTCAGATCACGTTTTTAAGTACTGTCTGGACACATTATTAATATCTCCTTAGGGTTAAGGTAGATATTAGGTTTGGGTTAGGACTAAGGTTAGGGTTACGATTAAGGAGAGATTTAGAGCTGGTATTACTTATTTCAACTTGTTTTCGTACCCAGAATTTCCTAATAAGTAGTCGTCGATTCTCCTGCTGGAAGCCATAGTAATTCAACGGAGGTCTTTTGGGGAAGACTGCGAAACAGGATAAGAGCGATAAATGGGTTACAAATAAAGCCCACCTTAAGTCACCTCGGTGAATATACACGTACAGACGTTAGTCCAACTTCCAAAAATGATACTCCTTAATGTAATTCGGAGGTATTTTTAAGTCATTTAGGAGTAAAAAATAGTCTGCTTATAGTGTGACCCCAAGAAATGTCTGTTGCATTCCCAAATAGCCCTGCACATAGAATTTCGGAAGAAACCCGTGAAGCTGAGGATTTATTTCAGGCTATGTACGCGAACCTTGATGCTAAATATTGGGTGTGGAAAAAAACCACGGTTTTAAAAGCTTGGAGTGGACGTGTGAATAACAGGACCATTGATTAGTTACTTAGTCCGACATCCCTCCAATTTTACTTATTTTACCGAAACTTAACCGTTTAGACTCCTTAAGTCTATCACTTGTCTTAAATTCATAGACTATGTTGTGGGCTCGACTTGAGTTCTATCAACATCGACAAGGACACCATCGTGCACGGCACACGAAGCGCCATATCTCGAAAACGTAGTATTAAATCAAGGAAAACGAGATGTAAACTGGTTTTACGAGGTGACTAGTATATGATGGAACAAATGTGAATGACACGAGTACATGTGAACTCACTATTTTTGAATACTTCCAGCCATTGGTTTGAGATGAAATCGGAGTGTTCTGCTTGAGTGAGTAGAAACGATGCAGCATCCTTAACGTGTTTAGATGACAAATTAACCGCATTAAGTTTGTGTTTTATCTGGTCTCTTAGCAACGCATTAGAATCCATCGAGTAGCATTTGACAACCGTTGAAATGACCGGAACTTTCCTTTACCTTGAGCAAATGCGTTTAAACACAATCCCTATAGTAACACAGACGGAGACACAAGATATATGCAGTCTTAAGGCTGCATGGTTTATTGCAATGAAAAAATCTTATTGATATTATTCGTAATTTAGGATTTAAACTTTCAGATCAAGAATACAGATGGTATGTGAGAAATCACACCCTAGTCACAATGCATTCGGCATCGCTGTTAGTTTCATTGTAACCTTTGACTTGTCTCTGCTAAAACGCTCTTACATTCTGGTCTAGACGGTACCTCAATATTGAATCAGTGAGAAAGAATTCTGAAAAACCTGGTATGATGGAAATAATGTGGCTGAAGCCAAACGAGATAGTACACCTTACGATGAATGCAACTAAATTCACTATTCATGAATTGTTTCAGCATGCGGAAGCCGCCATTTCGGCATAATTATAAGCTCTGGAGCCACATCGAGCAATTAAAATCATTAGTCTAATTCATTTATAGATTTTGCCAATTGCAACTACAACGAGCTTGTTAACTAAGATTTACTAGTTTATTCAAGAAATAAAGCCAAGAGTATTTGGTGTATAAGATAGTCGTGAGGTAGTAATGAAAGCCAGTTATTGTTATTGTCTAATCGGCCTTTTACGCTAATTATTTATGCACCTGTGCAGACAAAGGAAAGTGGACATTATCAGGGCGAGTTCATATAGATAGCCATTAATATGTGTGGTGCGTGGGCTCCTGAGGAGAATATATTACCTGGACACAGTCCTTGAGTTACTCTGTGACCACCCAGTCTCTATTTATGACATCCAACGGACAGTTCGAGAGCCATATTTGAGGGTGGCGAGTCCTAGGTTTGGCTAGCTCGAAAGATATTCCCGTTTTCTATCCGTTCTATGTGTGACCTGTTTCTGTGTGGTTCTTATTCACACATTTTTCCCTTTTGTTAATTTGAATGAAGCAAGAATAACGGTTTCCGCATAATAATGTGATACCATCATTTATTTCGTTGGCTTGTCATCAACTGCGCCAGCAACCTAGAAAAATTATCATCAGACATATCCAAGTTTATTTGATCTAATGGAAGAACTGATTGATAACACCACTTTTAGCAGAAATAATTTACTAACACTTCAGAAATCAATAGCGACTGACTGACTGGTTTCAACACAGAACCTCGCACCGATGTGCAGCGGTTCGAGTCGCCACATTCCCTCCATGTACCACAGAAAGTAAGAGAGGAAAGTAAAAAGAAATGTAAAGCAGGGACATGAGGCAGATGACATAGTCCTGTTAGGGGAGGATGATGACAAAATACAGCAGAGTCTTCTGAACACCTTGAGAAGCAATCTTCGTATGTTTGGCATGCGATTCGCCCCTACAAAATGTAAGATGCTGCCACAGGACTGGCTACGTCAACCCCTAGCTTAGTGATAGAGAGTGAAGTGATAGAACATGTTGACCACTTCACCTATTTGGGAAGTTGTATCATCACCAACGGACTGATTGGCGATGAAATCTCAGTAAGGATCCGAAAAGCTCGAGCTGCTTTCTCTGACTTACACCATCTCTGGTGTAGGCGTGACATCCGGCTGTCAACCAAGGGACGTGTGTACTGCCCATCAGTTCGTTCCGTCCTTCTCTATGGCAATACGAGTTGAAGACATGAAAAGGTTGACTGCTTTTGATCATAGTTGTCTGCGATCTCTTTCTCACGTCAGGTGGTTTTAATAAGGTAAGTAATGTTGACGTTAGGCGTAGAGTGTTGGGCAAAGAGGGAAAATCAATCGACGAGGCTATAAAGTTACATAGAGTGAGATGGCTAGGTCACGTGCTGCGCATGCCTAACCATCGCCTCCCCCCGTCGACGGGCATTGTTAGCTGATATAGGTGCAGGTTGGAAAAGAGTAAGTGGTGGCCAAACAATAACATGGCATAAATAGGCCATGAAATCCTTGACAGTTAAACTGAGTCAGGTATGGAGATGCAGACTCCCGGGTTGGGGCCCTCGGGACTCTAGGAATCAATTACTGGATAAAATAGGTGATATGGCTCAAAATCGTTGTCAATGGCCAGCGCAGATGTATTCAGTCTCTGTAATCTTTCATATTCCTTTCTACCATTACCCATTCTGTTTCACTCTTATACTTGTCAAACTCTATTGATTCTCTCCACTCATCTTCTGGTCTACCTCTGTGTGCTATTCTGAACGTGGCAACTGGAACTGGTTCATTTCGGTGCCAAGTTCTATGTTGAATCTAGACAGACAGACAGACATGAGGTAAAAAGAATTGTATTATGGGACAACTATATAGATTTATTCGGTATTATAAGTTACAAGGAGTGGATGCATCTGCTCCATATCACAAATTGTCTCCAGCCTTCATTGGTGTTTACCATCTCGGTTATTCAACAGTACGGACCGGTAAACCCACTAGGAATGTAACCCCCGGGGACCTTTAAACTACGAGACCAAACTCTTTGATGATTATTCAGCTAAATAGACAGGAATTCAATGATCTGGGAATTTTAAGTTTGTCAATTCGTGATACAGTGTGCTACACCTACAGGCAACGCCCTTAACTAGTGTCTACTTCACCTTATCATTGTAGACTTTTCAGTTCAGTTTCAGCAGATCCCTATAGTGCTTTATTATTATTATTATTTTGTTCCCTCTTTGCCCAACATTCTACGCCTAACGTCAACATTACTTACCTTATTAAACCACCTAACGTGAGAAAGAGATCGCAGACAACTATGATCGAAAGCAGTCAACCTTTTCATGTTTTCAACTCGTATTGGCCATGTTTCAGAGCCATAGAGAAGGACGGAGCGAACTGATGAGCAGTACACACGTCCCTTGGTTGATAACCGGATGTCACGCCTACGCCAGAGATGGTGTAAGTCAGAGAAAGCAGCTCGAGCTTTTTGGATCCGTGCTGAGATTTCATCGCCGATCAGTCCGTTGGTGCTAATACAACTTCCCAAATAGGTGAAGTGGTCAACATGTTCTATCACTTCACTCCCTATCACTAAGTTAGGAGTTGACGTGGTCCAGTCCTGTAGCAGCATCTTACATTTTGTAGGGGCGAATCGCATGCCAAACATACGAAGATTGCTTCTCAAGGTGTTCAGAAGACTCTGCTGTATTTTGTCATCATCCTCCCCTAACAGGACTATGTCATGTGCATATTCTAAGTGCATAAGACTTTTACCTGGTAACAAGTCGATTCCTAAGTCATTAAGTTCAGTTAAGGATACTTCCATCAGCATATCTATGATGATGACTGGGACTTAAGTGCATACCAGGAAGGTTGTTTGGACAGTGGTTAGAGTAAAAACAGTTGCTAAGTGGTATATGGACTGCAGAATCCAAACGAATTGAATAGTGTACCAACCTGTATTGGTTACTAGCATCTGTGGGAACCTAACTCCAGACACTGCTCCGCTGCCTTGTGGATTAGACTTCAAGTCAAAGGCTCTCAGGGTGGTGGTCTCTTAAGACTGCTTCGGTCTTGGCACCCGGGAAGTATCTCAGACTTTCTTTGCAGTCCTATTCAACCGGCCTCATGATTTCCTATAGTCTCTCATCACCTCCTCGTACGATCTCCTCTTGTCACCGTCGGACACCTTCCCAACTCGTCGTTTCCCCTTTCGAGTTCCACTCCAACAATCGCCTGCATTGAGCGTAATGTCATTCTACGGTCTTCTCAGCGTATCCCCAATACATCTCCATTTCATCCTACTTATTTGCTGGACGTTAAGTTTAATGGTCTGTTGTTTTGTCCCCCGCCCCCTCACAGTTGGTAATTATCTCTGACTGGCCATTTGATCTTCAATATGGAACCAGCCAGCGAAGTGGAAAATTATTGATAAAAGTATGCAGTAGCCTCCTGTTGGCGGAAATGCTTCCGGTGACGTGTGTGCACTACACGTTTCTGACCCAGATATAGAAAGCACTGACTGATTTAACTGATTTATATTGAAATTCCCAACCTTGTTCTTTGAGCACATTATTGACCGACTGGTTTCCCGAAGTCTTTCACAGCCTCCCATGTCATTTCGCCTCTCTAATTCCACAGAGAGAAATAGGTTTGTTTCTAATTATATATATATTTTTTCTTGTGCGTGAAGTTTCTTGATTTTTTCTTGGAGTAGTAAGATTGCTAACCCCGTAGCTCAACCCTGCCTCTTCTCCCTCGGCTCAAGGTGGTTCTTTTTATATATTAGAAATTCAGTATTTTTAAATTTTATTTTAATCTCCCCGGGGAGGGGAGAAGGTTGTTTCTTACTCACTTATCTACTAATTATTTTTCTTATTTTTTTATGAAATGTTTATAGCCAGCTTGGCAGATTTATTAATCCCTAACGATAATAATAATAACGATAATAATTCATGTCATGGTGTGGATCCAAATTCTTTCCTGTCGAAGAATCCCATGCATAGCATTTCACAATCATCATGTATGTTATCATCGTCAACAACATCATCATCACAAGGCTATGGAGTATCATTTACTAATAACAGTAATCTGATGAACACTTCAACGCCACCTGTCAGTTGTATCGGCTTACCCTTTACACAATTCTCTATGATACCACCAAATGTTATGCCATCTATAATGACAGGAAGCAACACAACTAACATGTCTGTTACAAGTTGTTCACAGGTAAAAAAAATCAGCGTTAGTCTATTGTTTTTATTCACTTTCTCATTATTTGATTGATTTGTGGATTTCATTATCATGAGCTGACATAGGTTAGAGAACTACTAGAACTGCGGTTGTTTCGTCAGCCCAGTTCGGAGCCCTTCAGTAGTACGCACCCATCGCTACCAGGTTTCTAACCCAAGACCTGGTTACAAGGCCAGCGAGCTCATAGACTATTAAGCAGCCACTGGGACCTGATGCGATCCAATGACCAGTCCATGAATCCTAACTTCTGCCATTTCTCTTTATTTATTTACATCCCAAGTATGGAATATTTGGAGCTTCATGATCGAATTTTGAAGTTTGTTTCAGTGTAGTGGTGGGGTTTTTACCTGTCCGAGATTGCTAGTCGCATGTCCAGTCTTCCGTCTTTACGTTTGTCTGTCTGTCTGTTTTCGACATAGAACTTTGCACAAATGTGCGGAAGTTCAAGTCACCACATTCCGTGTAGCACGCGAAGCAAGAGAAGAAAGTCTTTACGTTTACATACACCAGCTAGGTGAAGTGTAGGCGTGCGTCGATTGATGGAAATCGAATACTTGGACCATATGTGGTGTAGACAAGACACTTGATAACGGAATGTTGATTTTGAAATTCGTATGCCCTGTATTTAAATCATCATTTGCACAGATGTTCCGTGTTGTGATAGTCATGCTTCACACCTACTCAGATTATTCAATGATGCACACACCAATATTGAGTTTACTATGGAACATGAAAGTGACGGGAAGTTTCACTTCCACAACATTGGCATGGAACGCCTAGAAGACGGTAGTCTTCAGAAGTCAATTTATCGAAAGCCTACATGGAAAGAACGATACTTACATTTTAAAAGGTTTTGTGCAAATAGCTTTAAACGAGGACTAGTCAAGACTCTGTACTATGGAGCGAGGAGAATATGCTCTATAGAGAAACTAGAGGGGGAGTTTGAGTTCCTTGAAAAGATAGGGTCAGGCTGGAAAACAGCTAGTGGCGGCCAAACCAAAACACGGCCACAACAGTCAATGAAACCTACAACAGTTAGTTTAAGCCAGTCACGTAGGAAGGTGTAGACTTCCTGACTGACTGGTTGGGGTCCTCAGGACGGTAAAAACCAATGAAGGCTAGAAACAATTAGTGACATGGCTCAAAACCGTTCTCAATGGCTGGAGAAGATGCATCCACTCCTTGTGATTTATGATTTCCAATGAAACTGTTTTGTTCTTCGTTATTACTCTTCTTTTGTCTCACACCTCTGCTTACTGTCTCTATTATGGATTTCTTGTAATTTCTTCTATGGCTTTGTGTGTTACAAGAAGGGAGGGTGGTAACTTGAACTAACGCACATCGGTGGAAAGTTCTATGTTGAAAACAGACAGACAGCAAATACCAAAGAAGCACTGTCATTAACAATCTCCTATAATATTATTCCTTAAATTGTTTTTAATCTTTTTGTCGATAAAATCAGATGCAATATTGTAACAAACGCTGAAAATTCCACACTGTATTATTAGTACTCTTCTGGAATAAAGCAAAATTATTATTATTATTATTATTATTAATAGATGTCTTATTTTACAATTTTCAGGTGCCTCCTGGTGGTATCACTGGCGGTGGTTTAATGTGTTATCAATCTCCAAGAATTCCATTACCATCACCTCCTCGAGGATTACCACCTGGTGCTTTTATGCTCTCTCCACAACATCAACACCAACAACAGCAACAAATACGTCCAATAATGTCTTCTCTCCTACCTGGAAATATACAACAAATGCCTTCTTCTTCAACATCATCAGATTGGTCTAAATCTGTGGTAATCAACAATCAATTACGTCAACAGCAACAACAACAATTACAACCGCCACTAGTAATACAACATTCCTCGAATGATTTTTGGTCAATGATGAGTACAGTTCCTCCACCACCTCCTCCTTCTCATTCTCTATCCTCGTCAACTCGACCTCCACAAGGATCATTACAGTTGCGTCAATCATCATTTCCTCCTACATTTAATCCATCACAAATTCGTTCACAAACTCCATCATCAATTGGGATATTCAATCGCTTTGCAATCCATAAACCAAGATAGTAGTAATACTAATAATACGAATACTTATTTCAATCCCTTGTCTTCAAATGGATATAATATACACGTGTTGTGTGTTTGTCAGTAGTAACTTTAATTGTTTCGTATTTTTTTATTATCTATTTGTGTATGTTATCTCATACATTGAATACCACACTTCTGTCCTCTCCAATTTCTTCATCATCTTTTTCATCTTCTCATACCCCCTCATCACGTTCCCATAGTGGAACACAGCCACAAAGCTTCAAGTCTCTATAGCAATCGTTACTAGCCTCCACTCCCCCAACCCCGCCGCTGCTGACCCTGCACACATACCCAACCAACCTTGCCTCTTTTACTGGCTTACTGAGAAGGAGAGGAGGGAGTGCGTCAGTCGCGGTGGCCGAAGACTCGAACCTCCCCCCCCGCCCCACTCCAAGCACATGTGGTTGGTGTGGTTGACAAGCATTCTAGTGCGAAGAGACAGTCAGCCAGCCAAACAGTCACGGACACGTACACACGCACACACACAATCCATTCATTTTAACCTGTACAGAAATCTCGTTAAGCCTTTTCAAAAAAAACAACAACAACTTGTTGCACAGATAAATAAGAATTCGCTTTCATCTCTTTTTGTTTGTTTGTTTACATTTCTTTTCAATTTTTTCCTCATGTTTTACTGTTTTTTATCCTCTCTCTCTCTCGCGCGCGCGCAAATTGCAGAACATTTCTTTGTCTGTCTGTATGTTAGTATGTATGTACATGAATTATTTTGTTTATCTTTTGATTCCCAAATAATTTTATGTAACACTTTTAAATATGAATGATATAATAATAATATTATTATTAATAATAACCTTTGCCTTCTTTTTTTTTTGAATTTTCTATAATGATTAGTGTTCATATCGCAGATGAATAGTGAAAGTGTTCATTCCCCATATTTATAGAGATAAGAGTTTATTTGATTGGTTGGAAGATTGTGTCATAATGAGTGTTGACATAAGTTTAGAGAACCAGCCACAAGGAGTACTGGACAACTTATTGTAACAACAGAAGACAAGGGCCGGCAACAGATCGTTTTATTACGGAAATCAGCACGTATATATATATATATATATATATATATATATATTCATGTACATTATTATAGCTTATTCAAGTAGACAAACACAGTCTTCTAATTGGTTGTTTCTGGTTTCTCGGAAAGTGGGCCATCTATCTGAGAATCATATTTGCCTACATGTCAAGTCTTCTGTGATTTGTTGTTGAATCAGCCTTGTTCATATTTTCTAACGGCCAATATTAGTGATCTAGACCTTGACGTGAATTAATGTCTACCAATTGGCTAGCAGCCTGCTCTGACCACATTATCTGTCTCGTTAGCCTAGTTTGGGACTCTTCATCAGTGTACGCGCCAACCACCCCAGGCTTCGAACCAAGGACTTTTTTGGTTATAAGGCGATCAGCGAGCTCGTAGACGACCATCATTAAGCAGCCACTGGAACTTGACCTGAAACCATTGGCCAGTTAGTTGATAAATTCTGACTTCTGCGAATTCATGACATGGTGCGACCATTTGGCAATGACTTCTTCGGTGAGTAATGTCCTCACCTTTCATCTGCTGTGGGTGTGTACTGATGATGGTGTGTCCCAATCTAGGACGAAAAAGGCTGTATTATAGTACTTCTTGTAGGTTTTCCACTGGTTCTCTAATCGATGTCAGCTTGTGATGATGAAGTCCTCCATGCCTTCATCAATTTGAAATAAGTTTGGGAATCTTCTATATTCAACCTCAGCATAAACAACACGATTCGGATTATGTTCAACACCAATGTCAAGTTAGTCCTTCTATACAGGTCACAAAAGTTGGCCAACCTGTTACGAAAAGCATTTCCAACAGCCTGTTGCAGACTTTCATCAACAGCTGCCTTGGTTAACTCCATACTTAAGATCAAATGGCCAGAAAGAATAAGCAATAAGAAACTATAGGAACAAACCTAGTCAGACTAATCGCTCAACAGATATATATCGTGGAGAAAGTGGAGATGGTTCGTGCATACACTGAGGAGCCTGTCAAATGATATCGCGTGCAATGTGCAGGCTATCTCTCGATTGAAATCACAATGCGGAGTGACGAGTGGGTCGTCAGTGTGAAGGTGACATGAAGGAGCTCGTTTGAGGAAGAGATGAGGGAGTTGGGTGTAATCGTGGAGGCAGATGAAGAGGATAGCAGAAGCAAGTGGAGAAGTGTTGTTGAAGTCCTATGCTCCGATCGGAACCCAGGGGAATAATAATAATGCGAGAAATAAATACTTTGATTAGTTGGTGATGTCAACAAGACCAAGGTGAGAAAAAGATAATGAAATTTTACAGTCATTCGATGATTACTATTTCAAGCTGATGGTTATCCGTTAGTTCCTTTGAGACTATGGTGTGTTGGATACGCCTTCAAAAAATTGAAGGTTAGCCCTTCTTTCTATTCGTCCAACGTAACTATTACTGTGGCGAGTGCAGCTGATAAGATTTATAAGCAGTAAATAAGGGGATTAGCAAGGTTCCAAGATTTTATCATGAGCTGATATCGGTTAGAGAACCATTAGAATACTTGGGAGTACTAGACAGCTGTTTCGTCCTAGTTTGGGACTCTTCATAAGTAGGCACCCACCGGGGTTTGAGCCCATGACCTTCTGGTTACAAGCCTAGCGAGCTCGTAGACCATTAAGCCACTGAGACTCTATCCAATGGCCGGTCCATGATTTCTAACTTCTGCCAATTTCACGACATAGCGCGACCACTAGCCAATGTCTTCGGGGGCGAATATTTGTCTTCACACCCAAGCAGCTGCACCCTACTGGTCGCGACTTCTTGCTAGAACCCCAGGTAACTACCTACCTTAATAGGGCAAGTCGCTAGTGAGCATCTCATTGATATTCAAGTGTTGATTTGCAGGGATTTGATTGGTTTACAGGATTTCATCATGAGCTGACATTAGTTAGAGAACCATTGGAAAACCTGGGAGTACTGGACAGCTATTTCGTCCTAGTTTGGGACTCTTCAGCAGAAGGCATCCACTGGGACTAATAATGTCAGATCATGATGAAATCCTGTAACCAATCAACCAAATCCCTACAAACCAACACTTGAATAGCAAGGAGATAAATTTGATGCCAGAGAAGGCAAATGATACAGCGTTGTGCAGAGGTACATGGGAGATGTGAAAGAAACACAATGTGAAGTCCAGAGGTAGCTGAACACCAATGATCTGTGCAAATTGTGCGTTGAAGATAAGGGGTGGCCATACAATTTGGCTATGTAGAGATACCAATTTCCAAATAAACATTCCTTTACCAAGTCTTTCTTCTTCTACCGTTTTACTATCAGAAGTAGGTGTCAATTTCTATACACAGCTAGACCTAACGTAAGAAGGGTATCTATCTGTCAACCTTCGACTAGCATTACAACCATATCTTCCGTACTTGTTTATGAATTTCTGAATGTAACGTTTTTCTGAAAATCAGAAGTTTTTCCTCTAATTCCCCTGTAGAGCATATTCTCCTCACTCTGAGTAATGCTCGTTTATAGCTATTTAGAAAAAAAAACTATTGAGAAGTTAACCTTGGGGTGAATTGATTTCTTGTGACAGCCATCTTTCAAATGTTTCATGAACAATTAGAGGAAAATCAACAGCTAAAGGAAATGCAGATGAAACCGAATATCTTCCAGCAGTTTTCTCTCACTTAATTATTATTCCCTTGGATTCACAGCGAAACCTAAGACTTGAACAGCGCAAATCTCCCTCCAATTTAGTGTATTCCCTGTGGTCGTATTCAGCTAACCCCACGATTAGCTATAGTCTCGCATCTCCTCCTCTTCTTCACCCAAGCATAACTCATCGTTTCTTGTTCATGATCCACTCTCGAACGGTGGCCTGCATTGAGCACGATTTCAACCGACAGTCTCCTAAACGTGTTTCTCATCCATCTTCAATTTCTTTGTCATATTTCTTGAGCAATAGTTGTATGGTTTGTTTATTAGTAGAGTTTCTTGTTGGTAATTCTTTCTGTCCCCCTGATCTTCAGTACAGAGAAGCAGCTAGTGATGAAAGTCTGCAACAGGCTGTTTCGAAATGCTTTTTTCGTGATGCTGGCTCTGACTCGTATATCAAAGTGGACTATTTGGATAATCCAAATCCAGTCTGATAGATTCCTAGAACATCTATGCTATACCTTCTGATTTCTTGTAAAAACGTATAGTAGTAATATAGAAGAACAATATTGTTCTATTGGATATGGCAAATAAATCACAGAGAGTAAATGCATCCTGTGCCAATCAATGAGAACGAAGATTTTGAGACATATCACCAATTGTCTCCAGTCGTTATTGGTTTTTGTCATCTTGAGCACAACCAGCCAAGAAGTCTACATCTCCCTCCCTACGTGGTTTAAACTAACTGTTGTGGATTTCATTGACTGATGAGGCTATGTTTTGGTTTGCGGGGATTGATTTGCTACCAGGGAATAATCTCGTCGACTTAGAATATGCAGACGATATAGTCCTTCTAGGCGAGGACGCTGAAACAATGCAGTGTCTTCTAAACACGTTGAGCTGCAATCTACGAATGTTTGGAATGCGATTCGCTCCCGCCAAATGTAAGATGATGTTACAGGACTGGACTGGACTACACCGACTCCTAGATTAGAAATAGGGAGTGAAGTAGTAGAGCACGTTGACCTCTTCACTTATTTGGGAAGTATGATCAGCGAGTGCCAACGGGTTGATCTCTGACCAAATCTCAGAACGGATACAGAGGGCTCGTTTCGCATTTGCCAGTTTACGCCGTCTCTGGCGTAGACGAGATATCCGACTATCGACCAAAGGGCGGGTGTACTGCTCATCAGTCCTCTCCGTCCTCCTTTATGACTGTTGATGAGACCTGGTTATTAAGAGTGGAAGACATGAAAAGGCTGGCTAGCTGTCTTTGATCATAGGTTCCTGCGTTCTATCTCCTGTGTGAAGTGGCATAA